CCTCTGAGTAGTTGTGCACAATGTTCTTCACCTGGCGCCGCAGCGCTGAGGTCGTCATGGCTGGGGACTTGGAGATGGGCGCCCCCCGCCCCAGCCGGAGGTGGAGGGCCGAGGGCCACCGTCGCCGACGCCGCGAGGTCACGATTTCCAAGGGTGGGCCGCCGTGCTCTCAGCAGGGCGGCTGCGTCCTTGGGTTCCACATGGGTCTGAGGAAGAGAGGGTTTGCAACTCAGGGGCAATGGTCCACCTCACTGGCCACTCAGTCACCAACTTAAGGCCTGTCCAGGGTGTCCCCGCTGCCAGGAACAGCCTTCAGCAGGCACTTTTAATTTCTCTTATTTTACTTATTATTCAGCAGGCATTTCTAGCTTTGCATGCTCACATCCTCACCAGCACACTACAAAGATGCTATTATTATCATCTCCATCCACAGAGGGGTGGAATGAGGCTTAGAGAAAAACGGATTGACTTATCCAAGGTCATAGAGCTCATAGGTGGGGAGTCAGGGTCAACCCAGGCAGACACACCCCACAGTCCTTGCCCTTATTGGGGAACACAACATTGACCCCCCCAGGAACGCCTACTCGCCCAGCTTCTGCTTGTCTATCTCTGCCCTTTCTGTCAGGGCCTAGCTTGTGCCCTACCCTTGCCAACTCTCAGTCCTCACTTTCTTCTCTTCTCAAATTGCTCATTTGGTAGCTTGATTCATTTAATACCTATATCCTGGGGCCTTCTCTGAGCCAGACACGGGGCACAAGTCCTGGTGCAGCCAAGTCCAGTGGAAAGGGTACAATCACAGCCCAGCGAGGGGGTGCAGAGGAGCACAGGAGCACCCAAGCTAGGGAAATCAGGGCAGACTACCCAGAGGAGGTGGTGACTGAGCTGAGACCAGAGATCTGAAGACAAGGGAGAGGAAGAGTGTGAGCCAACAAGGTGGGAGCGGGGGAGGGCAGCTCAGGGGGTACTGTGAGCTGGGCCACAGGAGGGACGGAGGAGCACTGAGAGAGGCTGCCTCTCAGAGAGATGTGGACACCCTCACCCTCGCTGTACACACAAGAGCACTAAGGCCAGAGAGGGGACATGACCTGCCCACAGTTACACAACACGTAGGTGGCAGAACTGGGACTAACACCTAGGTCTCTGAAGACTAATCCAATACTTATTGCCAGTGTCACCAATTTTGTAATTAATTTGTACGATTGCCTTACGGTCTCAGCCCCACCTTCTCACCAGAAAGTAAGCTCCCTGAGGGCAAGGCCAGTCTGGGGTCCCAAACCCCCAAGGCCTGGGGCACATTTAGTACCGTCACAGCAGAACTCTGATACCCCAGCTGCAGGGGGATTAGGGCCAGCCCAATGCTCTCCCCACCGCCACGGGACCAGGCCATCTGCTAAAAGCAACCCAGGCCCAAGTCAGACAAATGTTCTCCCAGGGCCCTACCAGAAACCCTAACCAGAGTCCCCCTGCCATCATCATCACTCTGGCATGGGTACACACACACACACACACACACACACACACACTGATCACTCTGGCATGGGTACACACACACACACACACACACACACACACTGATCACTCTGGCATGGGTACACACACACACACACACACACACACACTGGCTGGACATGCAGAGCCTCCACTTCACCACTGAACCCCCACCAACAGTAGCACCCACAGAGACTACACCTCTCAGCTCTACCTTGGGACTCGGCAGGAGTCAGACGGAGTTTGTTCTGCCCCTCACCCCTAAATTCTATTCTCCCTCCACCCAGTTCTGACAACACGGGGCTCCTTTCAAAGGGGCTCGCAGGCCTCCGTAGTTTTCCCCAGGCCCAGGTGCCTGGGAGACCCGCCCAGCCCGGTCCTGGGAAGGCCGGAGAGATGCAGAGTGCGCACTGAAAGCGCCGCCTACCTTCTGTCTGCTGTCTCTCTGTCCAGCCGGCCTTCTGAGGATCCCACTGGCCAACACTTGTTTAACTGCTGCCCTCCCCCTCACTAGTGACTCAGACCTGTCTTTACCTCTCTAACCGGTGGGCTGGCAGGTGGCAGGAGTCAAGATGAGAAATAATTGTGCCCCAAAGCCCGCCCCGAGTGCCCGCCCCTCCCGCGGCTGGCCACTGAAACCAGCAGAACCAGTCAGGCACCCCGACTCCAGCAGGAGCTCTACCCGGCCCTCCGGCCGGCGGGAGTGGGAGGGGCCGGGTGAGGGCCTGCAGCCCGCCTGGGCTTTTCTCCTGGGAGGTGGGCACGGGGGGCCGTCTCTGCGCACCTCTGCCGGGGCTGGGGGCAGGGAGGGGTCAGAACACCTGAGGTCCGAGGGAACCAGGTAGGGAGGAAGAGGGGGCGGGGCGAGGCCCAGGGAGCTCCGAGGGGAGGGAGGAGGGAGGAGGGGAGGCAGGAACGCGGGAGGAGCGCTGGGCGCTCCGCCAGCGGTGTTACAAGCAAAGGGTTTTATCGAACACAATATGCCCAGAAATAAAAGGGAGTGAAACAGAAACCCAGAAGCCGATAAGGCGGCAGTGGCGCGGCGGCGGCAGCCGGCAGCGCGGTATGGAATTACTGCAGTGACCTTGAGCCAGACCCTGTCAGGTGGAGGGAAGGACACTGAGAAAGCAGGGCCCCAGAGGCCAATTCAGAGCTGGGGGCCGAGGGCAGGAGAGGCAGGGGGCGGGGCGGAGGGGAGAATCTGCGGGGGGTGAGATGGGAAAGGGGCAGCAGGGGCTGGGACCAGCTTGGGGTGGGGGCTGGTGTCATCTCTCTCCTAACAGAGGGTCCCAAGGAGAACTTTCCAGGGGGGATGGGGCTGCTCTTCCCTGGGCCCAGAGGACTGGGGGACCTGTCAGGACTGAGGAAGCGGGTGGCATCCCCAGAGTGGGGGTTCAGGAAGATGGAAAAAACCCAGATGTCTAGAGTTTGTCCAAAGTCTGTGCATGCCCCACCAGCTCACACCACCTCCCATTCTCTGCCGAGGCCAACTCTGGGCGCCCCCCACCCCAACATCAGGTCCAGCAGGAGCAGTGGAGGGAGTGGCAGTGCCCTAACTCTTGCTACTGGAGGGCCAGGGGAGTACCTCTGGCTCTAAGCTGCTGTCAGCCGAGTGCTGGGGGCCCTGGAGTGGGTGGGGTAGGGGCTGCCCTGAGGCTAAGGGTGCTGGGAGCCCAGGAGAAGGGGTGGCAGGGAGGAGCCGGGTCTGTGGGGGATGCCTCCAAAGATGCTATCCCAGGATGGGGAGCAAGTCCCCAGTCCTTCTTCCTGGGGGCAGCAGGGAGGGAGGGGCTGCAGGCGGGAGCCCCACTTGAGGCAATAAGCCCATTCCACCACCCACCCTCCTCACCCTTTTCCCTGGAACCGGGGAAGGAGACTGAGCCCCAAACCTCCCACTGGGGCACCAGCGCTGCCAGGGAGGGGCCAACTTACCTCTGGTGTAGGCTCCCTTGGCCCCTGCCCCGGGACCACGAGCAGCCTCCGCAGTGACCCTCTGACCTGCACCGCAGGGGGACGACACAGCTTCTGGAGCGTCCCCAGAGCCATCCACCACAGACCCTGGTGCAGGAGATCCACCCTCTCCCAGGAGGCATAGACCCCTTGAAAGGGCGCGGCAGGGTCCCCAGAAGGGCTGCAGCTCTGCCTCCAGTCCGCTGGTCTCTGGATGCCCAGCAGGCAGGCAGCACTCGGAAGGAAAGTTGCTCAGCTGGCCGGGCAGGTCTGCCTCAGCAGTAACAGGACACAGGAGGAAGCGCAGGGTGTGTTAACCCCTTCCTGCTGGCCAGGCGGCGGCACCTTCAGAGGTGGGGGGAGGCTTGCCTGCTGGCAGTCCCGGGAGGTGCTGATCTGGTGGCCCACTCCCACCCTGCAGTGAGTTAACCCTTCCTCTGCCTCCTCAACAGGAAAAGGGGGGGTGCAACACCCACCCTGCCCTTTCCCTTCCCCCTTTGTAGAGTGAATGCCTACTGTGGGCTCCCAGCTGGCCCCTTGGCCACCGGACAGGGGCATCAGCCCTGACAGGGCTCAGGCACAGCCCCTTCTCTGCCTCTCCAACACTAAGTGCTCTGCTCTCTCTAAACCTCCTCCTCCTCTCAACTGAAGGACACTTGAGATCCCTGAGGTTCTTATCAGAAGCACCCAATGCAAAGCCCAGTGGCCACTCCCTTGGTCTCTCACACCTCTGCTCCATCAGCACTCAGGCAACAAGCCCCCCACTAGCAAAGCTGTTCTTCAAACTCTGGAGCCTGGAGCCCACTCCACGCCGGCAGCCTGGCCAGAACACAAGACGGCACTGGGTTTGAGCTAACACCACCTTTTCTTCCAAAAGCCATCTCTTACCCACTTCATGTTTCTCTGAGCAAAGGAGGGAGGATAAAGTCCAGAGGCTGGTTTTAAGGCAGAAAAGTGGCTCAAGGAAGCCAGAGGATTTGACGTGAGGAGGGGGTGACACACTGGAACCCAGAACAACAGCCTCTGGCTGAGGACAAAGGGATTCAGTCTCTAGGGGTTCAGAGTGTGGTGAGCATGATCCTCAGACACTGGGACAGGGCCTTGGACCCAGCTGAAGTGGGAGTATCTCAGGGAGCCAGGTCCCAGGGAGTCTAGTTTTCCTAGTCACAGACTTTGTCATACTTGGTGATGATACTTGGGGAAGACCTGACTCCAGGAAGCATTACCGGAAAGTATGGGGCAAGGAAGGCCAAAGTCAGGAACTATGAGGGGTGACGTTATCTGTCCTATCATCTGATTCATTCCTTGTCCTGCTACAAACTTGCTCTTAGGTTCATCATCCCACACAACACCTCCCCAGGTGTGTTCCTCTCCTCCTGTTGGATGACTCCAGGAACTGGGACAGGGTGGGGTGGGGTAGACCTGAGGGCAGGTGGGACCTGGGAGGACCTGGGCCATGAGCTGATTTCATCAAGAGGCGGCATTCAAGACATGAGGCATGATGGAAATGGTAGGAACTTAAAGGCTCTTTATTGATGTGTTTGTTAACCAGCTGCCCAGAAGGCTGCTCGGACACACGGGTCAAGTGCAAAGATGCAAAGGCTTCTAAACATTCTTGATGGGGCTGAGCTCGTCAGCCAGAACCATCAGGTCAGTCACCAGGGTGTCCAGCAGCTCATAGACCTGGAAGAACAGGACAGACATCACAGGCAAAGGTTATACAAGGGAGCACCCACCTGTGAATATGTGCCACGAGGGGGGACATATTCACACCCCACTGAGAACAGCTGGAGAGGAAATAAAACCAAAGTGGTGAGAATTTCTGTAGAATTTTTGTTTTTGCAAAGTTTTATTTTTCAAACCAGTCTGGGGAGGCAATCCTGCACTGGCCCCTATGACGTATGGGGGCACTGGGGCCCAGGATGGTTAAAGGGGCAACACTAGGGAGGCCAGGGAGCAATGCCCATTTAGTCCCCTGGGGTGGCCCGATCCTACCCTGGCCTCGTGGATGCCAACTTTCCTTCCTGTAAGATCACAGACCCACCTACTGAAATGTTTCTAAAACTGTTCCCTTAGTGGGGCCAGACCACACACCAGCCTCGGAAAATTGTTAATTTCAGAAAGCCAAGGAAGTCCACCACATGGGTCCTCAGAGACCTATAACTTTCTAGACTCCGTTGACCTTCAGAAATCTGTGATGTCACCAGCAGCAAATGGAGCTTCTGATCAAATCCGATCCAGAGTATTAACACAGTGCACGACGTAATCCCAGCTAACCAGCTGTCCACACCAGAGGAAGACAGAGCCTCGCCATTAGACTGATAGAGTGAGTATGGCTTTGTGGGCCTCCCCTCCAAAAAAGAAAAAGAAAAAAAGAAACACAACAGCAGCAATAACTGAGAACCCAACCCAACACATGGATGAGTTTCTGTGGACCTACTGCTTAAGAATGCATCATCATGAAGTCTCTGCAGTGTTTCAACACCTTCCACTTGGTGCTCCCCCAAGGAACACATTGGCCAAGATGCCATCCGACAGTAAGTGGAAGCAGCAAAAAGGGGAGGGCTTCTGTTTTGTTCCTAGTCTATTCTCCAAACAGCAGTCAGAGTGACTGATTTCCTCCAGTACAAGTCAGACATGCCACTCCTCTATTCAAAACCCTGTCTGCTTTTTTGTTTCACTCAGAAAATCCCGGAGTCCTCACATGACCTACAAAGCACCACATGACCTGCTCCTTCTCACGGCCTCTCTGTCCTCTGTCCTCCTGGCTCCTCCCTCCCCCTGCATTAGTTGCTTCCTCTTCCTAGGGCACTCCTCAGGGGTCCATAGGCCACCCCTCACCTCCCTTCAAGCCTCTATTCAGTGTCACCTTCTCCATGAGGCCACCCGTCCCACCTGGGCCTTCCTCGTCCCCTAGGCTCTGGTCCATTTCTCTCTTCCTTAGTGCTCATCGCCTAACACGCCAGATGTGTTACTGGTTCACGAGTCTGGCTCGCACACTAGGATGCCCTTCACAAGGGCAGCTCTGCTTCCATCATGGGTGCAGTGGGCACTTATTGTAGAATAGAGGGGATGAATGAGGGAGCGGAGGAGGGTGTGCAGGGCAGGTGTGAGCGGAGGGAGGGCTGAGTCCTGGGCTCTGCCCGCACCTTAGTTTGCAGCCTCTGGGTGTATTTCTCCTTGACCAGGGGGTCTATGGGCTCCTGAGAAGGGGTGGTGCTGTCAGGGGTAGGGTCTTCCAAGGAAAGCCTGTCCCGACTTGAAGATTTCATAGGCTTCTTGTCATCCTTTGTCTTGTGCTTCCTGCTGTTTAAACGGTCCTGCTTGGAGAGATGAGACACGCATACCTTCAATAGCTCCCGAGGGACATCCAGGACCTTCTCAAGAGCAGCTCACTAGCCCGGCTGGTGTGGCTCAGTTGGCTGAACATTGTCCCATGTACCAAGAGGCCACAGGTTCAATTCCTGGTCAGGGCACAAGCCCGGGTTGCAGGTTCAGTCCCCAGTAGGGGGTGTGTGAAAGGCGGCCAATCAATGTTTCTCTCTCTCCCTCTCCCTTCTTTTCTCTCTAAAATCAATAAAAACATATATATATATATTTTTTTTTTTTATCCTCACCCGAGGACATTTTTCGATATTTTGTTCAGATAGAGTGAGAGGGAGAGAGAGAGAGAAACATCGACGTGAAAGCGACACATCGAGTGGCTGCCACCCACACGACCCAACCAGGGCCAGGGACAAACTGCAACCAAGGTACGTGCCCCTAGCGGGAACCGAACCCGGGTCTCTCTGGACCGCAGGCCAACGCTCTAACCGCTGAGCCAAACCGGCCAGGGCAATAAAAACATATTTTTAAAAAAATAAAAGGAGCAGCTCACTGGGAGAGCATGGGCATCATGCAGGAGTGACCTTCCTTGGCCCCTCCAGCCTCCCCAGCCCCACCCCTGGCCAGACTATGTCCCAGAGCATGCCTCTTTCCCTAGCATCTTGGCTCCTTTTTTATCTTCTTTGTCTTTGATTCCCAACTGCTTCTTTTCCTGGGCTGCGGCTCTCCGATCCTCCTTCCCAACTCTCCCGGAAGTCAGCTTCGTTTCTGTGACGGAAGGTGATTTTCGATCTGAGGGAGGTGAATGGAAGACAGTGTGGCCTGTGGCTTAGCTGACCCCACGGGCAGGAGTCGGGAAAAGCAACGTGTTCTCAGCAGCTTTGAGAGAATTCCCACAGACCAGAAGCAGAGCCCCTGGATTGGGCATGGTGTGACCTTGTGGAACCGGACTGCGGGGCAGGGACAAGAGACCTGGTTCTATTCCCAGCTCCACCACTCCCCCATGCACGGCACGGGCAAACCCTTTAATCCTGGGACTCCATTGGTCAAATGAGGGAAGTGAACTAAGGTGACACTGAGGTTGCTCTGGGTTCCAAACCTTGGCAACAGTAAAAGGGTGGCAGGGGCCTACTCCAAGGATCAGCAGAGGTTCCACCATAGGGGTGCGGAAGGCTGAGGCAGAGGGATGGGCAGACCAGTGAAGGCATGGCTGCCCAGTGTCACCTTGCTCTTCTGGCATGTTCAAATAGATGGTCTCCTTCTCAGGCAGGCCCAGCAGAGACCTCAGCCACAGGGAGTGGCTCACCATGCTGTCAATCACATCCCGCCACAGCTGCAAACTAGAGGGCAAGACGCATGGAGAAAAGCCATCACCCTTTCTTTGCCCTGGAACCTGCAGAGGTTTGGATCCTTTCCTTGCAAGACACTGGTGCCAGGAGCTGCCAAGGAACTGCCATGGCCCTGTCCAGCCAGCGTCCTCACCAGCATCTGTGCAAGGGCTCGGATGGAAATCCAGCTTCAGCCAAGAAGACGTCACCTGGGGCTAGAACCAGGTCAGCCTAAACTCCAGCTTGAAACCATGGCTGGGCCCTGCACGAGGTTTCCAGCCTGAGGCTCGTGGGCATGTGTTCTGAGGGCCTTGCAGAAACCTATCCCTCCCAAGCCTAGCCAAGCAAGTTCCAAACAGGTGACAGGAAGGCTGAAAACCAAGGAGTGAGGCTCTTTGTGGAATATACCCCTCCTCTCACCACCCTCTGATTTCTCCTCTGTTCGCTGAGAAGAAACAAGGAACGAAAAGGAGGCAGGTGGAGGTGACTGCCCGCGGGGAGGGCAGGCGCTGTAGGGGCTGCTGCAGCCGATGCCAAGTGTGGAATGTGTGCAGCATCTTTTAGCACCCGGAGCTCAGCTCCTCGAGTCCTGGGACTGCCTGCCCAGAACCCCTGGCCAGATGAGGAGATGGGGCCGCCCTCCTGGTGGGCTCCTACCACATCTGGTACAGGAAGTCAGACTGCAGTGGCCTCTGCTCCTGGCACAGCTCCAGGGCTGCTTTGTTGAGCCTGATTAGGTCGTCTTCTCTCTGGTTCTCCTCAGGGAGTGTCATCGCTGCCTGGCAGGGTCACAGGTACCATGAGCAACCCTTCTGCCCAGGACACCAAGGCTCCCTGGGTCCTCTAGTGATGGGCGTGGTGCTGTGAGGACAGGTGTGCAGGAGGGGATACAGCCATGGAGAACCTGTCCGGGGTGCCTTCGGTGGGAACCTGGGACCTCCGTCAGAAACATGTTCCCACGAACCCCTTTTCTAAGGTTTGCAGGCTCAGAGAGGGAGCCCCTCCTGCAGCACAGCGGCCTAGGTACCCAAGACAAAAAGAGACGCCCCAAGAGACTGCTTTCTCCAGGCAATTAACTCAGAAGGTTAACTTCTTTGTCCATGGGGCAAGAGGCACTGCCGGGGACCCCCCTCACCCCACTGTGCCAAAGCTATCCTCCCGTCCCCACCCTTCAGGGTTAGAGAAGCACCTTTCTGAAGTCCTCCAGGCAAAGGTTCCACTTCAGCGGAAGGCCCTCCAGATCCCTGGGGCTCTTGGCCCTCTCCGGGTCCTGGCTCCCCTCCACCAGGAGCTCCTCCATGATGCTCTTCCGCTGAGAAACCTTGGCCCCTATTTTGCCCTTCTGGGTCTTGAAAGAATCTTGGGAGTCCCTGAGGACCACATCCTCCGGCCAGGACACTTGGGATTCCAAGGCTGGGGCCTTCTCTAAATGGCCTGACTGGATCCAGGACCTGGGGTCCAGGTGCTCCTCCTCGCCCGGCCTGACCTCCCTGGCCTTCAAGGCCGGGGTCATATACTGGTTCCACAGTCTATGCAGGCTTTGTACCACTTGGTACTGGTAATGCAGCTGCAGCAGAGGCAAGAGGAGACACGTGAGGAGGAGGCTGGGTGTGGGGCACCCAGAACCCGCGACCCTGCTCCTGTTTCCCCCTTCCCTCAAGAGCCCTGATGGAGGAGGCAGGAGGAAGCAGCGGGAGTGGCTGTGGCCAGAGCATCCCACTTCCCCTTCATCCTGAGCATCTGCAACTAAAAGCACTTTTTTTTTTTTGCATGTGCTCTTCCAAGTAATACTGGGTTTGAATGAAGGAGTTTGTGAAACTCTTCTCACCAAGCATCCACTTACGAGCTAAATTATCTTGGGGAAATTACCTTCCCTCCCTGGGCCACAGTTTTCCCCCTGTAAAGTGAGGATATAAATAGCGCCCATCTCTCAGGGCTGCAGGGAGGAGGAAGTGAGTGCTGATGGAAGATGCTCAGAGCAGGTCCTGGCACGTCAAAAGGGTTGCTGTTCCTCTCACCCAGGGCACTCCTGAGGGCCAGGGGCCAGCGCTGGGCCTGTACCTGAGGATTCCTGTGGTGGAACAGGTCCTCCTCCGTGAGACAGGAGTCCACAGGGGACTGCACACGCTCCGGGGTCAGGATGCCCTCCAGCAGCTCCTGCAGCGTGCCCTGCATGATGGTGACTGCCTGTTGGGAAGCCAGCTCTTTCTGGGGGAGAAAAGGTGGCACAAGATAGCACGCTGCATCCCGGAGGGGAGCCAGACCCATCAAGACTGTGCCTTCCTAGGGGTGGAGTTCCTGCCATTGTCTGTCACACACACACACACACACACACACACACACACACACACACACTTCCCAGACTCAAAACCCCTTGCGTCTCCCCAAACATCCTTGTTCCCTAAAAGAGGCTGAAAGTATCCGAAAGAGGGTCCAGTTCCAGAGAAGCTGCTCCCTCGTGGGGCCAGGAGGTCACAGTCAGCATTTCCCATAGATCAGGAAGGGCCAGGGCAGGGGCAGCACGGTCTGGGCCTTGCTGAGAATGTGACTTGGCCACACAGTCAGTATCACAGAAACAGGGTCATCTCGAGACAGAGCCTGGCCCTATACTAGCAAGTAAAGCAGACACTGCACTTGTCCAAACGATCTCTGATCTCCGCAGGGTGAGCCTCAGCTGAAGTAGCTGGTTCGTGTCTGGGAACCACAGTGAATAAAAACGCACAGCTTCCACGGAATCCCACAAAGCACAGCGCTAGCCGGCCGGGCTGTGGGCCTGACAGGGGCCCAGCAGATTCCCAGTTCCCACCTCACACTCACTCCGGGGGGCCAGCCCCACTGGTTCAACTGTTCTCTGTAGTTTTGCCTGGTTTTGAAGTCGTGCCGTTAAATGCAGCCTCACTGGAGGGTACCAGACAGCAGTGCCAGGGCGCAGGGTCATGCTTGTGTTTGCGAGGCTCAGTCTCATCTCTCTGGCGGTGGGAGCCAGGCACGGTGGAGCTCCCAGCTGTCCCTCCTCTTGCCTGCCCACCCACCTTTTACATCACAAAGTCCTGAGAAGTGCTTGTTGGGCAAGAGTGACTGGCAACACATCAGAATAACCAAAGTCCCAGGCCCCCTACCTCCAGTGACTTCCTCTCATCCAGATAAATGTCCTGGGCCAGGGAGATTGCATGGAGGTTGACCTGTAGGACAGCACCTCCCAGCAGGGTGGGGTGAGTTCCAAACTCCCAAAATTCCCTGAAGATGCCAGCATTCACAGACTTGAAGAAGAAGGTGAAGATTTTTGTTTCTCCAGGCAGAATCACACCTGAGAGGGACAGAGACAGATGTTTTCACTGAGGAGGAGCTCACTGCGCCCCAAGCCTGCCAGTTGAAAGTTAACTGAGCCCTAAGCCTATGCAGCCCCAGGCAGAGTGACCCACCGTCCTGGTTTGCCCAGGACTGAGGGCTTTCCTGGGATGTGGGACTTTCACACTGAACCGGGAAAGCCTGGAAACAGGCACAGTTGGTTATCCTAGCCTCAGGACTGTGGATATAGGTAGCTGGGCCCCTAGAATGCTTCTGCTCCCTGGTGCCTCACTTCCCTGCCCCCAACAGACATGAATAGTTAGGAGATGACACAGGTCACAGGAGAAATGGAAGGGAGGAGGCAGGGAAGGGGGGCTTGAACTTTCAGGAGCTGGGCATTAGCTAGACTTGAGCGGCTCGGACATCAAGGTGAGTAGGGTCGCTTCTCGTAGGTACCTTCCCGGTTATTGAAGTAAAACCGCTGTGTCCTGTTTTTCTTCAGGTCTTGGAAAGAGTCCGGCTGCAACTGCCGCCGCCAGTCATACCAAATGGCTACTGTGCCATTATTGACCACAGGCAGCTCCGAAGATGTTTTCTGCCCTTCTAGAGTTTCAAAGGTCAAGCGGACAGCAATTCCAACCTGCTTCTGGAGAAGGAGGTATGAGAAAGGTCTTTGAGGGAGGCGCTGGCCTGGGGTGACCAACTCATCTTGGTTGGCCAGGAACTTTTCTGGGTTTGGCCCTAAAAGTCCCATGTCCTGGGCCTCCCGGGCCTGGCCGATCTCAGACAGAGTGGTGTCAGACCCCAATAGTGGCTGTCCTGAGGTGCCATCAATGGGAAGAAGAGAAGATAAAACATTTTACATCTGATGCACATTTCTGCTCCTTGGCATCTGAAGAATATTTTAGAACCTTCAGAAAGCCACACCAGTTTGATTAAGTTTGCTTATATACATGCTTGGGGGCTAGAGACAAACTGGGTGACTGTGACACTCTCTTTTGAGCCTTGTGATTTTATTCTGGCTCAAGCTAGTGTTAGCCGTTACCATTTCCAGACATGCCGAATGCATGGCCAGATACAATGCAAGCAGGAGACTACGGCTCCTTGTGACGGCCAGTCACCTTGAGACTGCACACAAGGGAGGCCTAAGCGGCCGATGGGTGAGGGTAAAGGCAGGTTTACCTCGTCCTGTGCGTTACTGCCTCTGACCCAGCAGGCTGGCTTCCCACAGAACAGCAGAGAAGGGCCAAGAATAGGCATGGGGACACCAGCGTATTCTGTCAATGCATTTCTGTAAGAAAAACCAATGACATATTTTCCCTGAAGCTGCCATAGTCTCACCACATGGAGCCCACAGCAGTGGTTGCCAGCACGTCTGGAGAGGTGCCCTGCTCTGCCCTCCGATGGAGTAGCATCAGCTCCCTGGCGCTCAGCTTCCTGCGCCGACCCTGTAGGTGGGAGCTTCTCGAGCACAGAGAGGCGCTTCTTGCTGAGGCTGTCAGTGCGCACAGCCCTGGGAGAGTCTGGAGCGGTCCCCGCTGGAGAAGGAATGTCTGGGAAATCCCCATTAGGAGCTGGTTGCTAGGAGGGAACAGATGGCCACAGGGAAGCTAGCACAGGTGCTGGGGTGGGCTAGAGGAGGGAGCGGCAGCCACTGTGAGAGCTGGGATGGAGGCACGCTGAACGCAGGGAGGGAAACCTGCCCTTTAACGCTGTGGGCGCAGGAGGAAGCCCGGCTCCCAACCTCTCTCCCTAGGGCCCAGGCCAGACTCACACGTTCTCTGTGTCTCCCAACGAACTGCTCTCTCTCCTTTCAAGCACTGAGACGTCTTCCACTGTCACCGCTGAGAAAGGCTGCCCTCTGCCCACCACCTCCAGGCCATCAATATCCTCAGAGGGACCAAGGAAGGAAAGATTAGCTAACGGAAGACAGGTGCCACCCTAAGGGGCTTCGGACAGGGCACAAAGGCGTTGCCAACCTGCTGGCTAAAATCCAGCTCTGCCATGATGCTCTGCAGCTCCTTGCGTCGGTAAGTCAGAAACAGACTCCGGTCCCAGGTGTAGCGGTATGAAGCATCCTTCCGGGCCAGCAATCCTACAGCAGGGCCCAAGGACCCTCAGTCCCGGCTGCTGCCATGCCCTCCCCCCCACTCTTAAGGGCTCTGAACACATCCATCCCTGCCCCATTCCCACTGCCTCAGTGATCCTACACGGGCCTCCTGCAAAATTAGCTTCCAACCCATGAAATCCCTGGATGATAATAGAAACAGCAATAGCAGCTACCTTTTATTGAGTGTTTAACAAAGGGCCAGAACCTCTCACCGACTACACATCATGCTTCATTTAACCCTCTCACAACCCCTTCAGTATTTCACAGATGGGGACGCTGAGAGCCAGAAGGGCCAAATAACTTGCTCTGAAGCCAGTCGGCCTGGCGCCCTTTAAAGCAGAGCTACCCAAAGAAATACCACGCACACCACTTAAAACTATCTGGATGGTTGAAAGGGTAAAACGAAACAGGGGAATAATTTTAGTAACACAGTTTAAACCCAACATATCAAAAATATCATTTCAACATGCAATCAATATAAAAATTATTAACGATGTACTTTTCATACGAATCAGTGTGTAGTTCACCCGGGGGCACAGCTCCACTCGGACCAGCCACGTTCCGGGCGCTCAACGGCCGCAGTTTCCGCTGCCGCCCTGGACAGCACAGCCTGGGCCTCCGTCCCACTCACCTCCGCCACCTCTTCTACCTGTCACTGCCCTACTGACGGGGGACATGGACCTCCGCAGGGTCTCACACCAAGGCCACGCTGTCCCCCTCCCAGGCCAGTCACCAGCTGCCCTGCTCCTCACCCATCTCCTCCTGGATGGAGTGCGGCTTCCTGATGCGAGTGATCGGCTCCAGGATGCCACGCTGAGCTTTTGTCTTTGTCATTACCAGACCCGTCATTTCATCTCCCAAGTATTCCAGTCGACTCCAGAACCCGCTGGTCTCCTCAGAGCACTGGCAAGGAAGGGCAGACAAGTCCCATCACCTGGCCGCCGTGGAGAGGGGTGAGTGGGGGCCTGGGAGACAAGAGCGCCACAGACGACAGACGCTCACTCTGGGCGTCCCCTGCAGCGAGGACAGCAGGAGGGACGCATGCACTTTCTTGTGCTCAGGATGCCCTCCTGCAGCCTGGACCTGGTCCCGGACAGTGTGGGTGGTAAGACACTGCAGTGACATACCAGACATGACATGGTACCCTGGGTGGTCCAAAAGCTGGAGCCTCAGTCTTTCAAGAGAACATTAAGAGTATTCTAATAACTCAGTACCTATGCTATCTTCCTCTTCAAATCCACTCCCAGTGACCAGCACAGGCTGAATTACTTACCTGGCCAGTCCCCAAATGCCCAATAATAGGACCAACAGTGGACTTTTAGTAAAGGCCTTGAGGGCTGAACAATGCTTTGCAATGGGTAGATTTGTTTTGTCCCCAGCTGTGCAAACTGAGGCAGCCACCCGTGTCCAGACCTCCCCCTCGCAGGGCACTTGGGAACACGGTCCTTGCCTTCCCATCATGCTGCGTGGGCAGTATCCGGTCAATGAGCTCCCGCTCCTCCTGGATCCGTCTGTAGGTCTCCCCCGCGTGCACCAGCAGCTCGCCAACAGGCTTCTTCAAGTACTCTAGAGAGAAGAGCCAAGAATGCAGCCCCTCGCCAAATCAGAGCAGACAGGGCTCAGCACTCAGCACTGGTCAGCCCCTCCACTGGGCTGGTTTCGGGACCCACTAAGTGAGAAACTCAGGGTAGTGAGTGAACGGCACCATCGTGCTCAGCCTGAGTCCATCTCTGGACAGCCGGGAAGCGAAAACGCACAGCAGCAGGGCCTGGGTGCCAGGTGAGGCCAGGAGGGAGCCCGTCCTCCCTGCTCACCGCTGAGCGCCTGCTGCTGCCTCTTCCACAGGGCCAGGTTGCGCTGCCAGTTCTTCATAAAGTTGTGCTGAGCAGGCGGAGCCCAGGGACATGCCTTCTCCTCTCTGGGTGCTTTCTGCGTAGGCTCTTCTGTCGCTGAGGTGAGGGTCATCAGACAGGGCGGCGTGTGTATCAGCTCAGCCAGCTGCAAAGTACAACGTGAGTGTGGAGGATGGTGAGAGGCACTAAACTGAGGCTGAGCTGAGACTTCTCTAAATCCCTGCTGTCCTCTGGCTGGTGTGGCTCAGTGGTTGAGTGTCAGCCCATGCACCAAGAGGTCGCTGGTTCGATTCCCGGTCAGGGCACATATCCAGGTTGTAGGCCAAATCCCCAGTGGGGGACATGCAGGAAGCGGTCAATGGATGTTCTCTCTCATCGATGTTTCTATCTCTCTCTCTCCCTCTTCCTTCCTCTCTCTAAAATTAATAAAGAAAAATTTTTTTTTGCCCTGGCCAGTTTGGCTCAGCAGTTGGAGCATCAGCCTGCAGACCAGAGAGTCCCTGGTTCGGTGTCCGCTAGGGGCATGTACCAAAAAAAATAAATAAATAAATCCCTGCTGTCCTCCCACTGTGCCGAGGATCCCTCCTCTGCAGGACCCTAAGGTCGTGGGTGACAGAAAACAAATCACAGAACCAGAGGACCTTGGAAACCGCTGTCAGTCCCCTCTCCCCCGGAATGAAGACCTTGGTTCTAAGATTGTGTTCAAAATCTTTCCATGTCTGTCTTACAACCGCGGTTTATTGACACTTTCACCTGCAGGGTGACTGGGCCGTTTTTATAGGACCCTCGGCCTTCTAGCCCCTGATCAAGGAGGCTCCTTGCCGGGAAGCAGGGGAGCGAAGGCACTGAGACAGAGCAGCATTCCACTGTGGGAGAGCCAGAGGCTGTGCGTGGCCCTGGAGCTGTGGGAGGCCAGCTTCCCCCAGGAGAGGAAGGGAACGGAGGAGCAGAAGGCAATTAGGGAGCGTAGGCCTGGAGCCCTGGCGAGTGCCTTTCTGGGTTCAGTCTAACCGAGCCAGACACGCTAGTGCCTTTGCTCCTTGGGCACCTCTGTATCCTCATCGTGACTTTCTGACTTCCGCTGAAGCTAGCTTAAGTTGGCTTCACTATTTCAGTGAACTGTCACTTCAGACTCCCGGGCCCAGAGACTGGATGGACTGTCTTTCGAACCCCAGGCCTGCCTGGCTCTACCACGTGTGAGACTGAAGTGACTTCAGCAGCTTCTCTCGTCCAGGCAGGTCTGTACAAACGAACCTGCAGGTTCCCTCGCGCAACTGCAATTCTCCTGAGGTCCTGGAGACTCCCCAAGATGTGGTGGGGCAGGATCTGCTCACTGGCATAGAAATTGTCACCTGGACCTGGAGGCAGGGAAGAGGAGGGAAAAGACCAGCTGTAGCCATGTAAACAATTCAAGGGGCTACTTTCTGATGGAGACCCCACTGTCTTTCAAGGCTGACCCGTGAGTTCAGAGACCAGCACGGCCAGGGCTGGGGCTGGGCATACCAGAGTAGTCCAGTGGCTTTGTGGTTGCATCTGGAGTGGCAGGATGTGCTACAAAGTGGCGGACCTTCCTCCTAGGATCCTTGGGTTTGAGTTTACGAATGATAAATTTTTGGGTAATGACAGGTTTGTCTCCTGTTTCAATAAAGCGAGGAATGTGTTGCTAAAAAGAAACAAAACAGGAGAATTCCACTTGAGATCTGGGGAAGGAAAAACACCACCCATCTCCTCTGTCCTAAGTCTTTGTGGAATTCCTGAAGGCTGACAAATCTGTTTCTCTAGCTCTGTCCACATGTCTGTCGAGGAAATGCCTATGCAACAGACATGAGACTTAATAATGTCCTGGAGAGTGGAAAAATAACCTCTTATGCCTCCAGACAGTCAGGTGAGAAGTGGCTGACTTTTCCCAACAGCCTGGGGTTAGGATTAGTGGCTTTATCCACATCTGTAACTTTGCTTCTTCTTTTTCTTTCTTTCTTTCTTTCTTTCTTTCTTTCTTTCTTTCTTTCTTTCTTTCTTTCTTTTTTTTGGTTAATCCTCACCCAAGGATATTTTTTCCATTGATTTTTTTTTAGAGAGAGTGGAAGGGAAGGAGGGAGTAGGAAAGAGAAACATCAATGTGAAAGAGACACATTGATTGGTTGCCTCCCAAATGTGCCCCAACCGAGCCCGGGGATCGAACCTGCAACCCAGGTACAAGCCCTTGACAGGGAATCAAACCTGCAACCCTTTGGTGCACAGGCCGACACTCTAACCCCTGAGCTACACCAGCCAGGGCTGGAACGTTGTTTGTTAAACTCATTTTCCCTTCTGTGAAATGGGGATGACGGCTCTTGCCTCCATGAGGAGCAAGACACCTCATCATCTCATTCCTCTGTGGTTCTATATGAATCTCAGGAATGTTAAAACAAATAGTAAATTCCTTTAGCTGCAGAAGTGAAAAGAATTTGTGTCCGATGGATTTTTCCATGGAATTCGACACTCCCTCTGAGTAGAGAGGCAGGAGAGACGGTGGCCATGGTTGAGGTTCTAGAACACACGGGCTGGAAAAGACAAGTTCTTGCAGGAAGGGACCCCTGGACTCCATCCTTACCTTCTCCAAGTCTTCCTTCTTAATGGCTAAGGCAAGTATGTCATCTCCTTGTAGGACATTGCTAACAGGCTCAGGTTCTTCCTGAATAGGTGGTGTGGGCTGTTCAGGTACCTTTGCCCGCTTCTTTTCTGAAGAGAAGCAGAAGGTTAAAAATACTTCTAAATCGATAGAGATTGGACTCCCTGGTGGAGAGGCAGAGCTGGCCACATGGACGGATAGCAGGGGCTGCCAAGGCTACCCGGGCAACACTTCCCTGGGGCAACAGGAGTTCCTTCTTTTTTTTTTATCCTCACCCAAGGACATTTTTCCATTTTTTGTTCAGATAGAGTGGGGAGGGAGAGAGAAACATCGACGTGAAAGGATCACATCAAGTGGCTGCTACCCGCATGACCCAACCAGGGCCGGGGACAAACCAACCGAGCTACATGCCCTTAGCGGGAACCGAACCCGGGTCTCTCTGGACCACAGGCCGATGCTTTACCGCTGAGCCAAACCGGCCAGGGCAGGAGTTCCTTCTCGAAGGTCCCTCCACCCATTGCCCTTGGCCTGCCACAGTGACTGAGGCTTCTGTAGCTGGAATAGAGATCAAAAGAGGTTCCATTCCAGGCTGTGCTACTCATTAGCGGAACAATCTTGGGCACATCACTTAACCCCTCTGGACCTCAGTCTTCCTTTTTGTAAAAGGAGGAAGCTGTACTAAATCAGTGGTTCCCAAATATTAGTCAAATGTCTGCCTCGGAATCTCCTGGAGAGTTTCACAAATACAGCTTCTTGGCTTCTGTGTGGAGCCAGGGCCCAGGGAGCTGTGTTTTTAAAACTCCCTAGGCGGTTCTGATGCACAGTGGTTTCTGGACTAGATGCTTTCTCAGCCTCCTCCATTGCTGGCTCTGATCCATTGTCCTGGTGAAGGCATCAGGTTTCTTCAAACACTGGTTGTAATACAGATGTTCTTGGCGGGGGGTGGGGTGGGGAACTGAACATGCACAGCTCTTTCATTTAATAAATACTGTTTAAGTATTTTCTATGTGCCGGGCACTGTGCCAGGCTCTGGGGATATAAGGCCGAGATTCAGACTTCAAAGAGCACACACCCATGGGAGACAAGGCTGTCAGGCTGAACTATGGGAGCAGTCAGGGGGTCCCAGGCCAACTTTGAGGATAGTCAAAGGGCTTCCTAAGGAGGTAATGTTTAAACCGAGGGCCGAAGGATGAAGAGAACATAGACAAGGAGAAGGGTCTGGGGACCAGGCATTCTAAAGGCACTAGCATAGAGTCCTAGAGGAGAGAGAGAACAGAGCACAGCCCTGGAACTCAAAGCATGTTTTTAAAATAGCTGGAGTGTAGCGAGGTGGGGGGAGGAAGCCATGCCTGGAGAGGGAAGGGGGAGCCATATCACGAAGAGCTTAGTGAGGCGTGTGAAAACCTTCAGTCTTCACCCCATGGGGCGTGGGCCATGACGTGGCAAGGAATGGATTGCGGGGTGCAAAACCAAGGACGAGGTTACTTAGGAGTCTACTGCAAGAATGAGGCGGTTGAGGCAGCAGTGGCTCACTGGACCGGAGGGAAGTGGAGAGGTCTGAGCCTATTCCTCGCATGCGTCATGCTGGAGCTCGGCACTGAGACCCCATGGGGCAGACGCGCGTTCTCCAGTGAGGACACCCTCCCTGCCCGCCTTCCACAGAAGTGGGTTAACAGTTTCAAATGCGTCTCGTTTCTTTCCTGTCTGCTGCCTCTGGTTAGATGTGAAGCCCCACAGAAAATAATCAAAAGAAAACCCAAGTCCTGACTTCAGGGACTTTAAAAATATTTTTTCTTTATTGATTTGAGAGAGAGAGAGATAGAAACATCGATGAGAGAGAACATCAACTGGCTGCCTCCTGCAGGCCCCCCACTGGGGATCGGGTCCACAACCTGGGCATGTGCCCTGACCGGGAATCGAACCAGCGACCTCTTGGTGGATGGGTCGACGCTCAAGCACTGAGCCACACTGGCCGGGGATGACTTCAGGGACTGTAAAACAGAACTTGGTGTCTGCTGCTTCTTAACAGCACTTCACTCTTTCAGAGGTCATACCACTAACACTTCAAAGCCAGTGTTTTGGTTACCAAAGTCAAACTCTTTTTTAGGAAATGCCCACATAATTGGTGGCAAAACAACAACAACAACAAAACCAACAACAACCAAAAAAAGGCCAAAATCATTCTAAACACAACTCTAAATTCCATTTGTGGGCCACAGTCCATCTCCTCAGCAATGGGATCAGCCAAGACTCAGGAGTGTCGTCAGCTAAGCCGCATGGCTCTGGTCCCATCTCCTGTCACGTATGGACATGCAGCCTTAGGTTTTGATTTCTACTTTCCTTCTCCCTTCTCCACAGTCACCAAAGTTGGTGGCAGTCCAAGAGAGAACTGGTACCAACTGACAGTCTGCTTTGATAACTGTTTTTGTATTATTTCTATTACCCAGGACATCTGCTTCCTCCGTCCATCACCCTGGCTGGTTCTACACCTTCCCAAGGCATTAAACATCTCCAGCTCTGTGCTTTGTACTGGTGGGTGTACATGATCATGTCTGAATTTATAAAACTTCACCATTGCTGAAGATTTCTGGAATAAGTCAGTGTAACTCTGGTCTGAAGTTTTTCCTGAGAAGGTTATCTTAATATACGATCAGGGAATGGTATGTCCTAGTTAATAAAATATTCAAAATCATACATACATTTTAAACTTCAATTCGCCCTGGAGAATATTTATCAAGCACCTTTTTTTTTTTTTTGATCCTCACCTGAGGACATTTTTCCATTTTTTGTTCAGATAGAATGGAAGAGAGAGAAACATCGATGTGAAAGGGACACATCGAGTGGTTGCCACCCGCACGACCCAACCAGGGCCGGGGACAAACTGCAACCGAGGTATATGCCCTTAGTGGGAACTGAACCCCAGTCTCTCTGGACCGAAGGCCACACTCTAACTGCTGAGCCAAACTGGCCAGGGCTATCAAGCACCTTCTAGGTCCTATAAACTATGGAGAAGATGGTATAAAAGGTTAAAATATGGCTCCTTCTGCTGAGGAACTGAAAAATGCACCAGACACAAACACACACCAATCATAACATAAGGGCCTAAAATTAGTGGCACAGATAATAGGTTTGGTTCCATATAAAAGCGGGAACAGCTAGATGTGGATCATACAGTTTAGGGCTCTAGCCAAAGGTTCCGCAGAGCAGCCGCAAGGGTCAGAGGAAGCTTTACAGGCTAAGTGAGGCCTTGAAGGACAGGAAGGCTTTGCACAGGTGGAGCAGCCAACACAGGTGTTCCAAGTGGAGTCACAGTTGGAGCAAAGGTGGAGGCAGGGCTGAGTATGGCACCTGTGAGGCATGGTGACACAGAAGTCTTATTGGGGAGGTGGGTGATACTGGGGATGAAAGGAAAACCAGGGCGTGATGTCTTTGTAAAGCAAAGCTGAAGCATCTGCTCATCTTCTGTTGACAAGAAGGTTTGGTCCAGGAGAATGAAATGAAAACAGCAATTTAGAGCAACTCATTCAGTGAGGGTAAGCCAGGGGGACTAGTGGGACGGAGGCAAGTTGGGGAGTCCGGGGAGGAAGAACAATCCCACAGGGGTCACTTTTAGAGCTGAGGGAGGACTCTGAAGGGTCAAAGTGTGTCTCACTACTGAACGTGTAGCGGCCTAGCTATTTCTTTTTCTCTGGTCTGGAGACCCAAGCTGAGTGGGGCCCCTGGTGAGTCATACAGCTGGCATTTCTCCCTTGATCCTGACACCAGCCTCCTTGCGTGGGGCAGTCAGGTGACCCCTCTGCTGGTGCTGGACCAGGCAGCTGAAGCAAGGTGTTCAGGTGGGATGGGGGAGAGGGGATAGCTGCAGAGGAAGAAGAAACCTGGATTACTTCTCTGCTTCTTGTTTCATCTCAATGTTATTCTTTTTTTTTGCGTTGATTGACGTCTTCAGGAAATTCTGACCTCAGGGTTGTGCTGGGGGAACCCAGGGAGGCGCCGTCTTTACCAGGGCTGAGCTTTACTTGATATGGGAGAGGAGGATCTGGGACTGCTGGGAGACGACCCTGTTCCTTAGCAACAAGACCCGAGGGTCAAAAGGGACTTCTAAACAGGTTCACAGTCACAATACTGCTTGCCTTTTTGCTTATAATCAGAGACCCTGGAGTAACCTAGCACAAGATTACAAGATTACACTTGTTGATCAGCTGTATTATAATGGGGGTGGGGAGTAATTAGAGGCTTCTCCTGAGATATTTAGGGGAACTAAACACTGATTTTTTTCCCTCCTCACCCTGGTGCATGTTATTAACTCAAGGGCTATTTAATAAACTCAATTCCCCCTATTAAAAATAAATATGCACTGAAAAATCTCTCCTTGATCTGTTCAAAGCTGATAAGATCTCCAGAAACTAGGTAAACAGTAGTTAGGAAAGCCCTTGACTGCCCTTGGGAAAGGAGACCAGTTATTCTTCTCTCTTTTTCTCTTAACTGTTAATAAGTGTATCCTGAAACAGCATCACAATGCTGCCTCACTCGGACTTCCATGCTCTAAAGAAGCATGAAAGAAAGCCATACTGAAAACTGGCTAAGCTTCTGTTAGTTTGACTCTAGGCCCATCCCTCTCCTCACACTAGGAGTGACCCTGAGGCTGGGTCTCCCCAGGGCCTGCAGGGCACAGAAAGCCCTTTCACAGGTCTAACCCTTGTGCAGGCCCCTCTGGCTCCCTTCCCTCTCCTCCACACTCACCACCCCTGCCCTGGCCACCAAGGTCATACAGGTTCACAGTTCTATGCCTCAGCTCATGCTGCTCCCTAGACCTGGAGAAGTAAACTACTCTTTTTTTTGGGGGGGGGGGGGGGCGGGGTTTGGTTGGCCACAAATGTCACCTTCTTCAGAAGAACCTTCCCTCCTAAATCTACCATCCGAGTCCTGGGTCAGGTGCTCCGAGTCCCCTTAATACAGGCACCTATATTCCAGCATTTATATTGTCTGGTTATTCCTCTGGGAGTTCACTAAACTGAATTTCTTGAGGGCTGGAGTCACACAGTTAATACCAACACCTTTGTTGCCCAGCACAGTGCCCACACACATCAGGACCTCAATAAATGGAAACAGCACACACACACACACACAAAAACAATGGAAGGGAGGGTGAGTTGCAAATGGGAACATGTCCATGGGGTCAGTCTGCTGTCAGGCACCCTGGGGCTCCCCCACCTACAACCAGAGGGTAGCTGCAGAGGGAGGCCAGGAAGCTGTCATGTCTAGTGACTGTCTCCCGGTTAAACAGGCAAGTCAGGTGTCATCCAGGTGAAAAGCGTAGTTAGAAACAAAACCAGCCAAGTTAGCACTTCTTGGAATTTTCCAGCAGGAATCTTGGGTGACACCTTCAAAGAATCCCACCAAATTGTGGATTTCACCACCTCATCATGTTCCTGACATTCTTTCCTGAATCTTTTTCCCAAGGACCCCATGTCCTGTTCCTTCCCATCTTAAATTCTTTCCTGGCTCTTCCTCCCTCCCCCCCAGATTCTCCCTTCTTTGTCCCTTCCTAAGATACGGTTCCAGACAGGGGTGTCCTATGCCTTTCTGCCCAAGGCCATCTCCCCAACAATTGATCTCTGAGGCCTCAGTCAGTCCCCCACTTCCTTGTACCCATCTTCAATGCCTCTGTGCCCCCTCCCTTCGGGGGGGGGGGTCTCCGCCTTGTTCAGCACGCCTTGCCTCGTACCCCATTCCCCAGTGGTCTTTACCTCCATCCTGGTGTCACCCCCATCCTCCGGGCCCCATGTCGCGAATCCCATCCAAGAACCCCTGCCCCTGCCCGCTTCTCCTGCGTTCCCAAGGCAGCCAGCGCCAACCTTTCAAGCTCTCTGCGGCCTCCAAGAATCTGCTTGAAGGTATTCTGAGGCGGGAGTCTTTCTTTAGAGCCTTCATTGTGCCGCTCGGCCCGAGAGCGTGGTCCTACCCCGCGGTGACCCGGCATAAGGTGGCCGTGCGGCAGCCCGCTCGACCCCGCGACCCCGCGACCCCGCGCCCGCCCGCCGGTGGCCGCCGCGTCCATAGCAACCGGCGCCCTGCCCGGGGCACCCACCGATCAGCTTGGGCGGAGCCTTTTTCATCGGACAGGCCCGACACGCCCTCCGAGGGCCGCTCCTTCTCTGTGCCGACCCTGTAAACAAACACCTCGGGGCTCGACCGTGACGTCACAGGCGGTGCAGACCAGCGCCATGACATCACCAGCCCGCCCCTCTGCGCACTCAGCCGGCGCTTGGTGGCTGCCGGCCCCTCGGGGCTGCCCGACTCCCGCCTTCCCTCTGCCCTTGCACAGCCTGCCCGGCTTTCACCGGTGCCGCAGACCCCGGAGGGCTACCCTGGGATTTTAGTTACCCTAGGATTTTAGTTACCCTAGGATTTTAGTTACCCCAGGATTTTAGTTGCCGGCGGCCCCAGCCTGTCCCCTGGTTGCTCCTGGTGACCGTCTCAGCACACTGTCACTGCAGCTACTTTGGCATCACTTCCCAAATCAGCCAACTTTCCCTCACCTCTGCCCAGCTTCGGGCCTTCTTACATTGCTGGTTTCAGTACCTGACCCCCAATTTAAAGCAGCCCCTCTGTTATCTTTATAATTGCACCCAGTTCATTTTTCCCGGAGCCTTAATACATTCTGCAATTATTTTATGTGGTTGCCTGTTGTGAAGCTTGTTGTGAGAATGTAAACTCCATACGAGCAGGGAAGTCTGTCCCTTGTCCCCATCCTAACCCAAAGTTTAACCCGTAGTGGTCAGTCTGGCTCTAGAGCCAGGCAGAACTGGGTTCTAGTTCCAGCTCTGCCTGCTTGCTGGCTGTGTGTTCTTGGGCCAGTCCCTTGACCTCTCTCAGCCACGGTTTCCTCACTTATAAAGTGGAAGTCATAATGCCCTCCTGCACAGGGCCACTGTAAGGATTAATACGAAGTTTGCAATTAAACCCCCAAATGCTCATGAAACTCTAATCTGTTCCTCAGCGTGTAGAGGGTCTTTGACCTTTTGGAAAGTTACACAGCTTCTGGGGAGGCTGGCTGGGGCAGAACAGAGATCGGGGGGCTGTGTGGGAGGATTCAGTAGAGGTTAAAGGACGGGAGGAGCGGGTGCGATTGGTGCATGGTCAGGCAGGCACACAACCTGGTTAGGCTCTGCCACCAGCCCCAGTGACCTTGAACAGGTCTCATCCCCTCTTTGTGCTTTAGTATCACCATCTGCATCATGAAGACTAGCTCAGAGCTGCTTAATCCTTCGAGAATCTGATCAAAGCTGGGAAACCTTCCAGAAATGTATGTGCGTGTGTGTTACGGTGTTAAAATACACAAAATTCACGACGTTAACCAATACAATGCAATGGCATTTAGTACATTCACAATGTTGTGCATCTATCACCATTGTCTAGTTCCAGAACTTTTTCATCTTCCCAAAGAAATTTTGTATCCATTAAACGTTCACTGCCCCTTTCACCCTCCCTCTAGCCCCTGGCAACCACTAATATACTTTCTGTTTTTATTGATGTGTCTGTTCTGAGTATTTCCTGTAAATGGAATCACACAGTATTTGGCCTTTTGTGCCTGCCTTTTTTCACTTAGCATAGTGTTTTTAAGGTTCGTCCACATCATAGCATGTATCAGTACTTCAGTGCTGTTCATGGCTGAATAATATTCCACTGTGTATTGTACTTTGTTTATCTAGTCATCTGCACATTTGATTTTGCACATGATTTTGCATTCAATTCCAGGGATTCTCTGAAGTTCATTCATGTGCCCCTGGGGTGGAGTGGGTTGAGGTCAGTGTGCCTTAGACACAGAGCTGGGTTGTCTGTGTTTTCAACTCTAATGTATCTGCTCAGGGGCTAGTGATTAATCACAACTTGGAAAAGGCAGAATGGATATTAGGGGAGACTTCTTAGAGGAGGAGCATTTGAGCTGGGCCGCTAAAGAGTTCAACAGGCAGGTCAGGCGGCAGACACTCCACATGAGGACACAGCAGGAGCCAAGGCCCAGAGGGGATAAAACACAAGTTCAAGTTCAGGGAACAGCATGCTTTAGCCACCATAACTTTAGTCATCTCCTCCCAGTTTGGCAACAATGAGCAACCTCCCTGAGCTGGGGAGGTGGAGGTGGCAGGGTTGATAGAGGACACGACATCAATTATTGCTTTATGTCTCTGTTTATTTCCACCCAGCCAGGTGCCGGACATGTCCTCAGCTCCTCTTTGCAGAAGCTAAACAGCTTCCCTAAATAGAAAATGTGTTTCCTGCACTGGCTGCATCATCCCTTTCCAGGGACAGCCACGCTCCAAAGCCTAAGACTGGGACAGTCTGTTCTCAAGCCCCTCACAACTAACGCACCCTTTTTACATCTGGCTCCCTCTTCCAGTTCATCCTGCCACTTCTGCCTCACCTCCATGTGCACAGCTGGCCCCTTCCCCTATTGTCTGCATCCCACCCCCTACATCTGGCCAGCCCCCACACATACACCTGGCTCACTCTCCCCAGCTGTTCATTCCCCCCCATCCAGCCACCATCCCTGTTAAACGACCCATCACACCATTACCCTCCTTGCTAGACCCTTGCTCAGCTAGCATAGAACAGGAATCTTCCATTCTTCTTGGCCCTGGGGTCAGGCCACTGCTGGACACTATTTCAAGCATGATTTCAGTCTCAGGGGTGAAATTGCTCTATTTCCTCTGGATGCCACATAGCGTAGGGATTGTGAGCAAGGGGGACTTTGGTGCAAAATGTGGGTTTGCATCTCAATGTTGCCATTTCCTAGGCAAATCTCACAGAGTTGCCGTCATCCTCTACCATCTGTCTCGTCCTGTTTTGCTATCTCAGAATCCTTACCCCATCCATATTTCTGTATGGTCTATCTTCCCCCACTAAAGTATACGGTCCAGGGGGGCAGGGGCTTTGCCTGTCAGATTCACAGCTAAATCCCAGTTCCTGGAATAGTGTCTGGCACACGTGGTTCATTAATAATGGATGGGAGGGAGGGAAGCCTGGAGGAGCATCAGTGGACTCATGGAGCTGCCTTCCGGTATCCAGGGGGCAGGGAGACAGCCTGGCTCCTTTTGTGCAGCACCGAAGGGCAAAACCATGAACCACCTGGGAGATTTGCTATAAGACTTTTCTAAGAATTCGAGTGCCCTCCTGTGTTCCAGCACAGGCCCGGGAGCCATCTCCCTGGGCTGCTGCTGAGGGCCTACGGACATGCACGGACACTGAGTTCTGGGGTCTTGCTGAGGCTCTCCACTAAAGGAAGTCTCTCTGTCTGCATCCGTCCCTCCCTCTTTGTCCTGGTAGGAGAATGCTGCTTGCTGAGGGCAGAATCAAGGCCCAGGGAACTGACTCACCTTGGAGACTTCTCCCTAGTCTAGATTGTGGGGGTACCTGAGGAATCGCCCTGTTCCACCGGTGAGAACATTGTTCTAGTGGCATTGGCCTGAAACTGGAGGTGATGGAGATGATGCGGGAAGATGCTGAGTTAAAAGCCCTGGGTCCTAGTTTTATCTATCTCTGTGACCCAGGCACTGTTCCACCCCCCCCCCCCCCAAGTCATATCTACTTCCCTTACAGAATGGCCTCAATGCCACCACCTTCATCGACTTCCCAGGATCAATGCAAGCATAAAAAAGAACAAAAACACAAAGTTGTATAAGCACTCTGAAAAGTGTACAGATGGAAGGGATTATTGTTAAGGCCCAGAACACTCAAATCCACTAAATAATTTCTCTTTCAGTGTGGCAGGCAGTACAACGGCTCTCTGAAGATATTCCCATCCTTATCGCCGGAAGCTATGAATTTGTTACCTTACATAAAAAAGGGCTTTGCAGATGTGATTAAGGATTCTGAGATGGGGAGATTATCCTGGTTTATCCTGATGTAACCACAAGGGTCCTTGTAAGAGGGAGGCAGGGGGATCAGCGTCTGAGAAGGAGATGTGATGGAGGAAGCAGAGGTCAGAATGATGTGGCCATGAGCCCAGACATGCCACGGCCTGTAGGGAATTGTGAGAATTACATATGACACCACTCAGGAGCTGGGTTCTGAATATGAGCATGCATGTTTGCAGCGCCTGTGCTGTCTGGTGAGCAGACTGTCCCTGGACTTCAGATCTTGTTCCAACAATATTGCCTGCTTGACAGTTTTTGCTTTGTTATTTTTTTTATCCTCATCCGAGGACATTTTTCCATTTTGTTGTTGTTGTTGTTGTTGTTGTTGTTCAGATAGAGTGGGAGGAAGAGAGAGAGAGAGAAACATCGACGTGAAAGGGACACATCGAGTGGCTGCCTCCCGCATGACCCAACCAGGGCCAGGGACAAACTGCAACCGAAGTACGTGCCCTTAGTGGGAACCGAACCCGGGACTCTCTGGACCGCAGGCTGTCGCTCTAACCGCTGAGCCAAACCAGCCAGGGCTGTTTGTTATTTTTAATCCTCACCTGAGGATATGGTTTTTTATCAAATTTTTTTTTTTTGAGAGAGAGAGAGGAAGGGGGAGAGAGAATCATCATTATGAGAGGGAAACATCGATCAGTTGCTTCCTGTATGCACCTTGACCGGGGATTGAACCCGAAACCTAGGTATGTGCCCTGACTGGGAATTGAACCCGAAACCTTTTTTGGTGCACAGGACAACACTCCAACTAACTGAGCCACTTGGTCAAGGCTGCTTGACAGTTTTTATAACTTATTTTGCATTGTTCATAAATTAATCGGAAGGGTCAGTGTGGGTGGGGACTTGGAGGAGGGGCGTTTCCACAGCAACTTCCTCAGTGATCTAAAGCCGCTCCCCTGAGCTGAAGCTCTGGCCACCGTGTCCCCCATCAGTGCTGCCAAGGCCCTCACTGGGGTCTCAATCACTAGAAGCAAAGTGAGGCCAATGTCAGTGTGTCAGGTTCAAGGGCAGGGGAAGACTCAGGCTGAGTCGGGGACAGCAGGAATGCAGGGGAGGAGATGTAAGGTCTGGGGAGGATGAAGAGCAAGGGCAGCAGGAGAGACCTAATCCGGAGGTTTGGATAAAGAAAAGGCACAAGCTGGGAGTGCGCCCCAGGTGTCCGGGGTCTGGGAGGCAGGTGGAGGCGGTCGTTCCCCTGAGGAATGGGGCCATTCCTGTTTGACCTGATGGAGGAGTGCTGGTATGAGGAGTCACCTGCTGAGGGGCCTTTCCTCCCCCCGTGGGTGCTGCTGTCAGGCTGCCCTGTGGCACACGCCCTCCCAGCTACCTGGGAGTTGGCAGTTCTACACTGGGCCAGGGGAAATTTTTCCAGAAGCCCAGGGTTACCTACTGACAGGTTTCAGCATCACAGGGAAACAACAGGTTTCTGTTCCTGTCAGCACCAGGAGTTGCGTTTGGGACCTGCGTTCTTCAGAGCCAGCATGCCCAGGGCCCTGTAAATCACAGCGAACACATTAATAGTAATAACTACTTCATTTGTCAAAGGCGCATTTTGTGCCAGGAACAGCAATAGGCTCCATCCATCCATCCATCATTGCCAACCTTGTAATAACCTTGAGGAAGGCACAGTCCCTGCTCTCAGAGCTGAGAAAATGGAGACTCACAGAGTGAGTGGCCTAGCGAAGGTCACCCAGCTAGTAAGTGACACTGGTCCCCTCTCAGGGGCATTGCTCTGGCACCCCCCCCCCCCAAGGCTATATACTCCAGGAACCTGAACACCATCTCACCTCCCCCACCCCCATGGAAGCAGGACGATGGGGCGGCTGCTCAGGCTGGATGTGACATGGGGTCTGTGACCCAGGAGGAGGAGGCAGGGCGCCTGGCTTGGTGGACACAGTGGCCAGGGGCTGCCGTCCTCCTCTCACTCGCTACTGGGAGAGCTCGGCACAGGAAGCAGTCTCAGGTGTTGGCCGGCCCAGACTCTGAAACATGAGCATCAGGCTCACTGGAGAGCATCACAAATGCAGATTCCCGGATAGAGATTCAGATGCTGTACACCTGAGGGGGGATGTCCAGGAATGTGTATGTTATGGGGCCCCTGGTAGTTGCGATGCAGAGCCAGGTCTGAGAACCGGGGGCTGGTCCCACCCCCTCACTACACAGGAGAACTAGACCTTGGATGAGGGAACGTGCTGCCCGTGGTTACGTACAGGACGGAGGTGGCAGTGCAGATTCCAGCCAGGTGGGCCCGGCTGCCACCATTAGACTGTGACTCCTGGGAGAAGAAAGCCAACTTGAAAGTTGACCAAAAGTGGAGCCTGGGACTGATCAGAAAAGTCACAAGGCAAAAGATGGGCTCGATAGATAAATATTTGAAACTTTTAGACAATTCACTTCCAAAAAAATTAAAACCCATTAATGATAAAAAGTATAGCATAGTGGAAACAATACTTGCAGTAAATAAGACAAAGAGTCAATATACTTGTAACATCTATCTTATCTATCTGTCTATCTATCTATCCATCCATCCATCCATCCATCCACCCATCCAATTCATTCAAGTCGATCAGGAAATCATCAAGGCTTTAATTGCTTAAATAAACAAAGAGGTTAAATGAGCACACAACACAATTATCAGTAAACACATATTTAATTGAGAATGTTTAATCTGGTTGGGAAAGCTTTTAAATGTGGCTCAGTTGGTTGGGCATCGTCTCGGGCCCTAAAAGGATGCTGGTTTGCTTCTGGTCAGGGCACAAGCCCAGGTTGCAGGCTCGATCCCCAGTCTGGGGCATGGAGGAGGCAGCCGATTGAGATTTCTCTCTCTCCCTCTAAAAATCAGTAAAAATATTTTTAAATAAATAAAAGTTACCGTTTACACATTAGACTGTTTCTCAACCATATTTTTATAACTGTACATATGGTACATTGATAGGAGAGGACTGGGAAGGGTGCACACGGTGGCAGAGCTTTCTGGTTGCCTCTTAATATCTCTCCCCCCCTTTAACCATCCCTTCGATTATGGGGGGTTGGGGTGGGAGAAAGCAGCAATGGGCTCAATTTAAAAACTATACTTCCCAGCCTCCCTTATGGATAAGGGTGGCCAACTAGAAGTAAGCTGACATCACGGGGCAGGGGGACTTTTAAGGACGCTCTTTAGATGGGGCTGATTCACTGGGGTGAAAACACGCTGTGGCCCTCCAGCCTTCTTCCTTCTTGTTGCCTGGAATACAGACATGATGGTTGGGGCTCCTGGGACCAGATTAGCCCAGCATAAAGAGAGAAGCCTGGGTTCTTTGTGACCAGTGAGCATGGGGCCACCATGCTAGTCCTGAAAGGCTTTGTTGACTTCTTTTATGTGGAAGAAAAATAAATTTATTTGTTTACGCTTATGTCACTTTGATTTTGTCATATGTAGTTAAAACTAAACATAACTGATACACACATCAAACCTCTGTGGAAGTGTAAAAGGAACTTTCACACTTTACTTTCAATGCCACGGTATTGCTTGCATGCATTATCATTATGTTTTATAATAAGAATGTATTTGTGTAGTATTTGTCTTTTTTTTTATCCTCACCTGAGGACATTTTTCCACTTTTGTTCAGATAGAGTGGGAGGGAGGGAGGGGGAGAGGGAGAGAGAGAGAGAGAGAGAGAGAGAGAGAGAGAGAGAGAGAGAGAGAGAGAGAGAGACATCAAAGTGAAAGGGAAACATCGAGTGGCCTCCTCCCACAGGGCCCCAACCAGGGCCGGGGATGAATTGCAACGGAGGTATGGGTACGTGCCCTTGACCAGAATCGAACCCGCGACTCATTGGTCCTCGGGCCAACACTCTAACCACTGAGCCCAACTGGCCAGGGCTTGTGTGTTGTTTGTATAGAGCCCCAGAGGACTCAAGTTGAGTGCCAGCCCACTTCCTAGCTTTGTGACCTTGAGCAGTCAACTAAGTTCTCTGATCCTGTTTCCTCATCTGCAAAAATGGGCATGATAATAACAGAACTTATCTCAGTGGGTTGTTGTGGAGCTTAAATGAGCTAATGCAGATAACATTCTTGACACGTGCCTGGCTTCCAGCTATCACTGTGTGTACTACATCATGCTGCCACACAGGCACTGGTGGCGGCAGAACCAATGAGAAAAGCCCAGGACATGTTGTTGAGTAAAAAAAAAAACAACAGGTTGCAAAACTGGCACATGAGTATGATCCCTTTGGTGAAAAATTATTTTTACTTCTACATCTATATGTATATCTATGCATCAAGAGATGTCTGGAGGGAAGGTTATCCAAATGTTAGTCATGGTAATTTCTGGGTAGTAGCATTTTTCTTCTATATGGTTGAAAAAGAGAAAAAGCATTATTATTTTGGAGCAGGAAAATGAGCATTATTATTTTGGAGCAGGAAAACAGAAAAGAAAAACCCTTTGTGAAGCAGTACTACAATTCACACCAGCAGATAGGAAAGCATTCATGCCCTCTGACCTCGCGATCTCACTCTTGGGAACGGACCTAAGAAATAACTCAAATGGAGAAAGACGCTATATCCATAAAAACATGCAGTGCAGCATTATTTATAATAGAGGGAAACGGGGAACCACTTAAGTGACTTACATTAGGGCAATAATTATTAAATTATTCACTCATTGGAACGCTGTGCGGCAATTTAACTGAGCAAGATGATGACCATGTAACAGCACAGACAAATGTTTATGGCAGGATGAGAAGCAGAAAGGGCAGAATGCAAAGTAGATCTGTGCCAGGAGCACCCCTGGGCAAGGAGCCTGCATGCATTTGGACAAGGACTGGAAGGGAACACAGGCAAATAAAAACAGTTCCATTTGTTGGGGCCACCGACTGTGGGTGCGTTTATTTTTTTCCTTTAGAATTCTAATGTTTCTATGTTTGTGTAATAAAAAAAAAAAATTGGCTTTAAAAAACTCAAGCAGGGAAAAGAAGGGGGGAGGGCAGGGAAAGCTAGAAGGGAGATCTGGGCCCTGGCCAGTTTGGCTCAACAGTTAGTGTGTCGGCCCGTGGACCAAAGGATCTCGAGTTCAATTCCCAGTCAAGGGCACACACCTCGGTTGAAGGTTCAGTCCCCGGCCCTGGCCGGGGTTGTACAAGAGGCAACAAATCCATGTGTCTCTCTCACTCTCTCCCTCCCTCCCTGCTACTCTACACTCTATCTGAAAATCAATGGAAAAATATTTTCAGGTGAGGACTTAAAAAAAAAAAAAGAAGGGCAGGAGGATCTGGATTAGAGAAATTCAGAGGCAACACACAGGCAAAAACTTCCAGTTCGGTCTTCTACTTGGGTGGCCCCAGAGGTTGCATCCCCTTTGCTCTCTGACTTGAGCGATCAGATGGACAAAATTATTGCCAAAGTTAGGGAGGCAGTACCTTAGCTGATGATAAAGCAAGGGTTAAGAGTGCGCTTCAGATTGGAATAAACAATCCCAAATCTACTGGTTTACAACAGTGTGTATTTCTTAGTCCTGCTCACATCTCTATGGTCTCCTCAGCCCAACGTCTTAACTCTGGGACCGAGGCTGACGACACAATCTCTGTCTGAACATTGCAGGTCTCTGTGGCAGAGAGAGAAGGTGGACCACCTACTGGCTTGGGCAAGTCTCTCAGTCCTTCTCAAATTCAATAGGGCAGGGATAGAAAATCCCCCACAGGCCCTCAGGAAGGGGCACTTGAGGAAGGGTGGTAAACATTCTGAACAACAGAATCTACCACACAAGTTATTCATCCTTGTCTGAGTCCATTTGGGCTGCTATAACAAAAATACCATAAAATGAATGGCTTCAACACCAAACATTTATTTCTCATAGTTCTAGAGGCTGGTAAGTTCAAGAGCAAGGTGCTAGCAGATTCGGTGTCTTCTATGTCCTCACATGAGGCTAGGGAGCTCTCTGAGGTCTTTTTTTTTAAGGGCACTAATCCCATTCATGAGGGCTCCATCCTCATGACCTAATCACTTGCCAAAGCTCCACCTCCCAATACATCAGCTTGGGAATGAGGTTTCCACGTATGAATTGTGGGGGCACAGACATTCAGTCTATAGCAATTTTATTATGTAAATCCTTTTCTTCGCAGAATGCAGTTCTGTCCCATGAGGTGGTCTCATGGAGATGGGACACATGGGTTCTCACTGTTCAAGCCTCTTCAGAACAGAAAACATAGACACCGAGTCTGAGCTACTCGGCACCAGGCTGAGATGGCAGCTTCAAGCCTGAAACATAGGGACCAGAGAGAGGTCAGGGTTTTGCCTAATTTAAGAGACAGGTGAGTCAACCTGGACCCACAGTAAGTATAATATAATGATGTAACAGAAAGTTCTGGGTGCCCAGAAGTATTATGCCAGGTGTGCTATTTACCACTCATATGACTTGAGTCTAGTTAGAGAGCCTCTTCGAATGTGAAGTGGAAATTATGATAGCTGCCCTGCCTACTGCACACCACTTGGTGGGGGTTGGGTGGCTCAATCGTAGGCTCTAAATTGTTAGTGCTCTTGTACGAGGAAGGTTTGGTCTTTCAAGCTGTAACCACACACTCACACATATTACATTTCCCCATCTCTTCTCGTCACCAAAGTAGCTTGTCCCCCCCCCCCTTTTAATTGTGTCCATGTGCTTTTCAGTAGGGCAAGTGAAAAATGACAACTGAAGTCTCAACGTGGAGGACCCATTGATGGATGAGCCATGGAGGCCTGGATGCAGAGGGTCGTTGCCATGTGCTCCTTATCCCTCCTGACCCCAGCCTCTCAGGATGAGAGGCGGCAGATGACAGGGCCTCCCAAACTGGCCTGATCATTAGAGCCATTTGGGAAGCACTTAAAAACTAGATTCCTGGGCTCCACCTCCAGGAGATTCTGATTCACCTGGGGAGGGTGGGACCAGGCTGAGTCACAGAAGCTGATCCGTGCAACCCCCACCTGGCCCTGGCTCCTGTCCAGGTGTCTGCAGAGGCCTAGTGAGCAGGGAGGACCTGGGTGTCTCAGGTGGCATGAGCCCTGGCCTCTGGGAGAAACCTGAGCAGGCCCAGGTTATCTGATGGTGCACTGCCCTGGCCCCGTGCTCACTTCTTGAATAGCAAGATCAGGGGAAAGCTTGGGAAGAGGCTCCCCTGGCAGCACGGGTCACGCTGCAAGTTGCCCCAGGGCCAGAGGAGGCAGTGAGAAAAACATCCCCCTGTCCTGCGCCAGCCCCTCAGAACCAGATTCGTTGCAGGCTTCCACAGTCCGCCTACACACCCTTACTGATAACCCTGAAACGTATCTCTTTACACATCTATCAACATGTTGGTGAGTTCCTCAAGGGACAGGTCTTATTCCTCTCTGCGTGCCCAGCACAGTGCCTAGCACACCAGTAGTGCTTGCTGAATATTTCATGAATAGATGAGAGGTAGTAACACCTACCATGTTACCACAGAGTCACAGGGGGCTGATATTCACACCCACTAGGCACACGGGAAATGCACGTGCTCACATCTGAGGGGTGGGAAACCCCATCCTTAGGCACCTAGCTAGAGGCTGAGCTGGGCACGCCCCGATCTGCAGCAGTACTAAATTATTTTTGGTATCACAGTACCCTTTGTTGTTTTTAATCCTCACCTGAGGATATTTTTCTATTTATCTTCAGATAGAGTGGGAGGGAGAGGGAGAAAGGGAGGGAGAGAATCATCAATGTGACAGAGACACATCGAGTGGTTGCCTCCTACACAACCCCGACCAGGGCCGGGGATGAACCGCAACTGAGGTACGTGCCCTTGGCCGGAATTGAACCCGTGACTCATTGGTCCTCGGGTCAACACTCTAACCACTGAGCCAAACTGGCCAGGGCCACAGTACCTTTGATAAGAAAAATTATGAAGCCTTTTCACAGGAAAATGCCTTTCTCTCTCACACACACAGACACACACACCAGGGTTAAGAGTGTCAGCCCTTCGAAAAGGGAACACTCGCCTGGCTGGTGCGGCCCATGGACTGAGAGGTCCCTGTTCCTGGTCAGGGCCCATGCCCAGGTTGTGGGCTCGATCCTCAGTAGGGGGTATGCAGAAGGCAGCCGATGGATGTATCTCTCTCACATCTATCTTTCTCTCTCTCTCCTCTTTCCTCTCTCTCTCTCAAAACAAAAAAAAAATCAATAAAAACATATATGTTTTTTAAAAGAGAAAAATCTTTTTTTTTTTTAATGGATGAATGCCAGTTAATAAATGTACATGGAATGATAGAGTCGGAAACTAACATTTTGCAAACTTCAGTCTAGTCACTGATTTAGGCAAGGATCATTGATGGATGCCAAGATGACTGGGCCAATAAATGTCCGGAACAGAGGAAATCTCAGCCTAGACTAAGCCTCTAGCACCCAAATCAGGATTCTATGCTACATGAAGGAGCCCAGACAGAGGACAGGAGCACAGTCAAGACGGCCTCCAGAGGGACTTATTAGGCTATTTAATAAAACCAGGTGGCCATTTCTGCAAGCAGAAGGCCAGGAGAGAATTAGCAGGCTCTGGGTGTTTTCTGAATTCTTCTTCCCTCCCCTTTCCCTGCTTGTCCCCACCCCTTCACTCCCTTAAGGAAAAGGCTGTGGGGCGAGGGGCCTGGGGGAGGAAACTCAGGAAGGTCCGTGGGGATCCCGACACCCTAAACATATCCTGGTGGCCAAAGAGAAGGGGCAAGGCTTGCTCTGACCTTTCCCACTGTCCTCAGAGCCCAGCGGCCGCTGTGCTGGATACACACATGGTCGCCAGCACACCTCAGTCCCTTCTGTGTCCTGTCCTGTCCTGTCCTGTCCTGTCCTGTCGAGGCTGGAAGCCCGAGAGCCGGATTCCGCAGCATCTCCTGCCAGCCAGGATTTGCTCGAGACCACCGGTGAGAGGCACTCGAGAAACCACCACTCCCTCTCTGGCAGTGGAGGGCGTACTCGATGCCAATTCCCAGGCCAGAAAGGTCCTCCCATCCAGCTCGCTGTAGGTGGTCCCTGGGGATGCCAGGGCTGAGATGGCACCTGCCTAGGGAGATGTCTGTAGCCCAGCCCCAAGCCCACCTGGGATACAGTCCTGGAAGGCAGGGACATCTGTCACCCTCCTGGCACAGGGGAGGGGGTTTTCTGCTGCCAGGCCTCTTGGAGCTGAGGTAGAAGGGTCAGGAGCAGAGAATCCAGCACAGCCAGGCCTTCCCAGGAACACCGAAGACCCCTAGAAAACCAAGAGGCCCGGAGGTGACGGCCTCATCTTACCAGTTTCAGTGCCCACCTTCTCCCAGTGCCGCTGGAACCCACAGGCCCCTCCCCCCGTCTTTCCCACTTGTACCAGGTGTGAGCTCTGTGCCCAGGGCTCCCTGGGATTTCTCACCACTCTCCACACCTGTGATCCAGCAACAACAGGCCCTGCTCCAGCAGCGCGTCCACCTCCACGCTTCTTCCAAACACGTCCCACAGGGTCAGCTGGGGCTCAAAGTGCCGCCAGTGCTGGAGGAGCAGAAGGGCCAGAGGTGCAGCCACCATGGGGCAGGTAGTTGGTGGGGCCACTCTGGGTCAAGGGTCTGGGCTGTGGTGAGGGGTGAGGGAGGGTACAGTCTAGCACAGGGACCTTGGACAACTGACTCTCATGCACAGCAGGTCCAGGCCAATGGGCCAGCAGGGACATGGGCACCTTCACGCCTCCACGTTTAGGCCAAAACCCAGCTCCCAGCCCAGCCAGGTCTCCCTCAGCTCCCCTGCTCCCACCCCCTCTGCTGCTCAGGGTATGGCCAGGGCTTTATCCAGAGCAGCTCTGAGTTTCACTGACCATCTACTGCACTTCCTACCTGAGCTTCAGTGCAATTTAAAAACATTTGAAAACCCTTAACCTAGTCGATTCCCCCATAGCTGAGGAAACCGAAGTTCAGAGAGAAAGGATGTCTGCCCAAGGCTGCCGTAGAAGGAGACTAGGGCTTGGATCTCTGAAGCCCTAGTTCAGGGTTCTCACCATTGACCACACTGCCCGCTGCTTCTGCCCATCAGGCCTCGGCTGGACTAAAGCCCAACCTCCAGCTGCCAGCCCCAGAGGAATGGGAGGGTGTGTGTGTGTGTGTGTGTGTGTGTGTGAGAAATGATTATGCATGGCTTAGGAAGAAGCAGTGTGCCAAAGCCCTCGGACCCCTTACCTGGTGAGTGATCCCCACGTCTGTGCGTAGCCCCATTGCCAAAACTTCCTCCAGCCTGAAAGAAAAACCATCAGGGGGTCTTGGAGAGGAGACTTGCACTTCTCCCAGTCCTCAAACCCTAGGCTGGGATGTGTGTACGGGGGCTTGTGAGGATCATGCAGTATGGGGCAGGGCAAGGCAAGAAATAAAAAGGTACACATGGAGGTGGTTCTGGGGGTGCAGGGGAACTCCGGGGGGAAGAGCCCAGTGCCCTCAGATGCTCACAGCTCCAGCTCGCCCAGGGGCAAGCGCTTCCGGGTGCCGTGTCCAAACAGCATCACCTCCTTCATCCAGTTGTCAGGCTCCAGGGTCTGGATCCGAGCCTCCCGAGTAAGGCCCCCGGCCCCCTGGGGCATAAAGCGTCCATGGGCCCCTGACAACATCGACAACCACACCCACTGTAATATCAGCTAAGACTGTGTGTCTGCCAGATGTTATGTCAGTGGTTCTCAAAGTGTGGTCCCTGGTCAACAGCATCTAATATGCTAGAAACCTCAATTATTGGTCCCTACTCCCGCCCTGAACAATCAGAAATTCTGAAGGTGGGGCCCAGCCATCTGGGTTTTAACAAGCCCTCCAGGTAATTCTGATGTGTGCTAAAGGCTGAGACCCACAGTGCCAGGCATTATTAAGCACCTCAAAATACACACTCAACGGCATTTTTTTGGCCACACTTTACATATAAGGAAGCAGCGGCTTGGAGAGGTTAATAAGTGGTCTAAGATCACACAGCCATGACATTCCACTCCTGAGTCATCCCTTCTATGGTTCACAGGGGACTCACCAGGCCCAATGCCAATGTACTGACCACACTGCCAGTAAGTCCAATTGTGGGTACTAAGCGCCCCCTGTGGGGAGGGAGGGAATAGTCAGTGGAGAGCAAAGCTGGCAGCCCTGCTGCTGCTCAGGTAAGGGGCACCTGGTTAGAATGCCCCCCACCTCAGCCCTCAGGGTACCCGGCAGGGGCTCTTCTCTCCACAGGGCCACTTTCCCAGGTCACACCTTAGCCTGCCCACGCCCCACCTTCAGCATCAGCCTAGGACTTACATTCCGGGCAAAGTTCGAGACCTCGTACTGGCGGAAGCCAGCCTCCCGAAGGACTGCCCGTCCCTCCTGGTACATCTCAGCAGCGAGCTCGGGGTCTGGGGCAGGAAGGGCACCCTGCTGCACCTGGGTGAAGAGGGCAGTGCCCCGCTCCAGGGACAGCTGGTAGAGGGAGATGTGGTCGTCACAGTGGCGCAGCAGTTCCTCGAGCTGCCTGAGCCACGGCCTCACCTGCTGTGCCGGGAGCCCTAGCATCAGGTCCACAGACACCCGCCCAGGGAACAGGCACCGGGCCTCTGCCAGGGTCTGCAGAGCATCACTGGCCGAGTGTGTCCGCCCCAGCAGCTGGAGCTCAGTGTCATCCAGGGACTGGGGAGAGAGGGTCCAGTGTAAACACAGAGGGAAACAAAATTGCGTGACTGACCTTTCTGTAGCCAGATAGAGGTGAAAATACAGAACACGGCAGGCAGCTGAAAGGCGATGGTCAAGCCAATGCCAAGGGCATACCATTCACTGAGGGGTCACTATGTGCCAAGTATTTTTATGCAATGTCTGATTCATCCTTATAACCCTCCAACAATCACTCCGTTTTACAGATGAGAAAACTATGTCCAGAAATGTTACATAACTTGCCCAAGGTCATATAGTGGCAAAGTCAGACTTGGAATTTAAGACTGTCTGGCCCCAAAGCCAAGAGTCTTTTTCAATTTTATTTTTAATTTTGAAATATTTCAAACCTAAAGAAAAGTTGAAAAAAATTCAAAGAACACCTTCATCTAGATTCACCAACTAACATTTTGCCACACTTGCTTTGTCTCTCTATAAATACACTCACATATTATGCCCTGGCCGGTTTGGCTCAGCGGTTAGAGCGTTAGCCTGCGGTCCAGAGAGGCCTGGGTTCGGTTTCCGCTAAGGGCATGTAACTCGGTTGCAGTTTGTCCCCGGCCCTGGTTGGGTTGTGCGGGTGGCAACCACTCAATGTGTCCCTTTGACGTCGATGTTTCTCTCTCTCTCTCTCCTTCCCACTCTATCTGAACAAAAAATGGAAAAATGTCCTCAGGTGAGGATTAAAAAAATAAATAAATAAAATAAATACACTCACATATTATGATGTTGAATCATTTGAGAATAAGTTATAGACCAGCACTGTCCAAAAGAACTTTCTGCAATGACAGAAATGTCCTATTTCTACCCTGTCCAATACAGTAGGCATTAATCACATGTGGCTACTTGAATTTTAAGATAAATTTAAATAATCACATTCCAAGTGTTTACTGGCATGTGGTCAGTGCAGATATAGAATGTTTTAGTAGAATATGGTAGCCACTGGCTATACGCTAGTGAGCATTTGCAAACTGGTAATTTAAATGTAGTTAATTTAAATATTGTACCCTCTTACCACTAAACAGTTAAGTGGGTCCTTCTTAACAGCAAAGACATTCTCTTACATAACCACAAGCCAATCACAGAGTTCAGGAAATGTAATGTTAATACAATGCCATTATCTAATACAGTCATATTCAAACTTGGCCAACTGTCCCAGTAACGTCTACTGTAGTAAGTTCCTCTTCCCACCACACTCCAGGATCCAATCAGGGTCACACATTGCACTCAGCTGTCACTGTCTCATTAGTCTCTGTTAGTCTAGATCCTTAGCCTTCCTATGTCTTTCATGCTATTGACATTTTTGAAGAGTATAGGCCAGTTGTTTTAAAAATATTTCTTAATGAAGAAATTCTAGAGATCTGCTGTACATCACGGTTCTTATAGTTAACAGATTTTTAGTGTATACTATATACTCAAACTTTGTTAAGAGGTTAGATCAATCTCATGTTATCTGTTCTTAGCACACATACAAAAAGTCTCTTTTAAATTTTTTTACTTAATGATTTTAGAGAGGAAGGAAGAGAGTGAGAAACATCAATTTGTTGTTCCACGTATTTATACATTCATTGGTTGATCCTTGTATGTGCACTGACTAGGGATGGAACCCACAACCTTAGCACATCAGGAGGCCGCTGTAACCAACTGAGCTACCCGGCCAGGGCTAACGGTCTCTTAATTTAGGTTTTCCGGAGGTTTCCTCACAATTAGAGTCAAGATGTATATGCATTTGGGAACAGACTATCGCAGAAATAATTGTCCCTTTCAGTACATCCCATGAGAACAAGGCTCTGACCCCAACCTCAGGGTAAGAGGTACATGTATCAGAAGTGGAGAAAGCAATACTGGATATGAAAACACGAGGGGTCAACCTGAGAGGAATATATTTCTCCCTACTTAAAAACCTTCAGTGGCTCCCCTGTAAACCACTAGGCAAAACCCAAACTCCCTTGCTGGTGTTGAAGGCTTCCTTGTCACCAGCCTCTCCAGTCACAAGGAATGACTCACAGCTCCCCCAAAACATGCAAGGCTTTTCCATATCATGTGTCTTTTCCTCTCATACCCTCTCCCCTGGGGAACTCCTCCTCCTCATTCGAACATCACCTGCGGGGGGGGGGGGGGGTGTTTTCATGATTTCATCAGACTGAGATGCCCTTCAGTCTGTACTCTGAAAGCCTTCTGGGTTTTTTTTAAATCCTCACCTGAGGACATTTTTGCATTTATCTTCAGATAGAGTGGGAGAGAGAGAAAAACATCAATGTGAGAGAGACACACCTACTGGTTGCCACCCACATGACCCCAACCGGGGCCAGGGACAAACTACAGCAGAGGTACGTGCCCTTAGCGGGAACCGAACCCAGGACTCTCTGGTCCACAGGCTGATGCTCTAACCGCTGAGCCAAACCGGCCAGGGCATGAAAGTCTTTTGTAAAGGGACCATTTTACCATGCTACAATGATCTGACCACCTGTTTGTCTCCAATCACGATAACAAATCTTTTCTGAGCATCTACTATGTTCCAGGCACCATGGTGGGTGCTTGGAATATTGTGATGAACAAAAAAACATGCATGCCTCACAGAGCTTGTGGCCTAGCACAGAAGCAGACAATTACATAGTTACAAAAGTGTCACCATACACACACTTTTCAGTATGTAGTAGGCCCTGGCACCCAGAAGGAGCTCAATAAATGTTTGCTCAATAAACGAATGTGACCAGAGGAGAGACAGCACCGAAGGGCTGTGTGCCCTGGGATGGGGTGGATAAGACTGGTTACCTGGAGGCCAATGGATAACCTGTTGACTCCTGCTGCCCCAAATGCTGCCAGCCTGGAGGCTGGGGCAGAGGTGGGATTGGCCTCCAATGTGACTTCGGAGTCTGCAGGCAGGTAAGTTGCCTGGGCCACTGTTTCCAGGACAGCAGCCACAGTGTGGGGACTGGCCAGACTGGGGGTGCCTCCACCAAAGAATACAGAGTCCACCCTGGGTGAAGAAGATAAAGAAGATGAGACCTGGAGGAGCCCTCCAGGAGGCCTGCAGCACCTGTCCTATCCACTCCGCCAAGCCCCGCCTCCGGCCGGTACCCACCGCTGCACTCCGCTGAGCCGCAGCAGGGTCTGAGCCTCAGTCACCAGGCAGCCCCGAACAGCAGCCTCCTCCACGCCGCGGGGAATGTACTTATTGAAGTTGCAGTAACTGCAGCGCTTCTCGCAGTAGGGCCACTGGGGCAAGGGGTGTTCGAAGGGGGCAAAAGGTGACTCCGAGCTGCCCTGGCCACTCCCAGGGTTCAGTCGCACATCCCCAACCCCATCCCCATTCCAGGTCGGTCAACCGTGGCCATGCCATCTGAACCACACAACTCCTCAAGGCAGGTCAGGCTGGGATTACTACGCCCCCTTCAGTAAGAAAAACTGAGCTTCAGGAGGGAAATCACACCGTCAAGGGTAATGAGCTGGTGAGCACCAAGACTTCAGATCCCCGGACACAGACATTTCCCTCGCCTGGGGGCGGGGAAAGTAGGCAGGTGAGCTCCCACGTGACAAGTCACTCTGTGGGCTCCTGCCTCCTCCTCCTCCTTCCCACTCACGTGGACGTAAAGCGCTGCGCGCTGGCTCTGGGCCACAGGACTCCGCGATCTTCCCCCATCCTCCACGCGGCGGCGCCTCGGGGCCACTTTGGCCGCTGCCGCCCAGACACCGACCCGGGCCCGGGGAAGCGTCACGGTGCGCATTGCGGCGGAGCAGCCTGGTGCACCGGGCAGGACTCGAGCGTGAGACACGCCCAGGGCGCACTGTGTGCGCAGAGCCCGAGCGTTTGGGCCGCCAGTGCGGAAGGAAGAGGGGCTACGTGACCAAGCGTCGTCCCACGTCCTGGGAAGACCGGGGTTCTCGAGTCTGTGGCGCCACCTGCCGGGACCTATGCGCTCACCGCAGTCACCGGGCCTTCCTTTCCCTGGTGGCCTGGAGGTTGTGGGGTGAGCTGCCCGCTTTAGGCACCCCGACCCACTCAGGAATTCTTAGTTTGTTCAGTGAATGCCTTCATATTTTATGTGCCTGGCAGAGAGTTGGGCGCTGGGGACATTAGATGCATAAGACCAGGTCACAGCACAGATGCATGACAGGAGAAGCAAACCAACAAGAGACAACAGGTAACAGATAACAATTCAGCCCCTGCTGGATACCGGCCAGTGGGCTCTGTGCTGTGGGGCAATCTGTCACAAGGGCCATGGAGTCAGTATGGGAGAAGAGGACACTTGGGCTGGATGTTGGAGCAGAAAAACCCCAGCAGAAGCCGCTAGGCCAGGAGACTAGTCTGTCATCTCCTGTGTCAGACACCACCACCACCACCCCCTGCCCCCTGCCCCCTGCACCTGCTGGAAGGAGAGTCAGGATGGTATCTGTGGGAGAGACAGAGTTCAGGTGAAGGGCTGGGAAAGCAGGCACCTGGACTCTCCCATGAGGTGGAAAGATCATGGAGTTTGGAGCCAGACAACCTGGTTCTAATTCCAGCGGTGTGACCTTGGGCAAGACACTGAACTGCCCTGAGTTCCATTTCGTCATTTGTGAAATGGAGCGAAGGCCTAATTGATAGGGTTGTTGAGGAGATTTCAAGAAAGCACCTAGCATAACGCCTGACACTCAGAGTATCCTAAACTTATGTTCATTTTCTAAAAAGTAAAGAGGAGGCCACTGCTGCTGGGAGTAGACACACTAGGGGGTGAGGACTGCAGGCAGGAAGAACTGTTTTTATTTCTTGGGTCAAGAAATGCTTTATCTAGCTCTGCCCGTCAGGGAAGCCCAGGTTCATTGATGAAAATAAATAAATAAATAAATAAATTATACATATATATATATATAAATTGGGTTATTTTGGGAGAGAGATGTGGGATGATAGCTAAAGGGTATGGAGTTTCTTTTAAAGGAGATGAAAATGTTCAAAATGAACTGTGATGATGGTGGTACATATCTGTGAATATACTAAAAATCAATGAATCGTACACTTTAAATGGGTGAATGGGATAGTTTTTCAAAGGGATTGAGTACAGATTAACTTAAGTAGATAATGCGCACCAAAGTGCTTAGCATCATCGTTGATAAGGAATAGGTCTAAAAGTGCTAGTTTCCCTTTGGTTTTTTCCCTTTTCCGTCCCATAGTAGCTGCCAAGAGACCACACCAGCAAGAGATCAGCCAAAGAAAACAGAGAAGCTCTTTATGTCAAATCACAAAGACAGACAAGGGGAGTGTGGGGGAAGGGCAGGGAGGGCCTGGGAGGACCCCTCTCCCCTTTATTCACAGGTTTAGATGTCGTTCCATCTGCTCTCGAAGTTTGAATTTCTGGACCTGGAGGAAACAGAAAGAAGTGAGAGCCAGCCTCGCAGCCTCTGCCAGCTAGGGTGATCAACCATCTCGGTTTGCCTGGGACTGAGGAGTTTCTTTCTTTTTTTTCTTTATTGATTATAGAGAGAGGGAGAAGGAGAGAGAGATAGAAACATCAACGAGAGAGAACATCAACTGGCCGCCTCCTGCATGCCCCCACTGGGGATCGGGCCCCCAACCTGGGCGTGTGCTGTGACTGGGAATTGAACCGCTGACCTCTTGGTGCCCGGGTCGATGCTCAACCACTGAGCCACATGGGCCTGGCAAGACTGAGGAGTTTCTTAGGCTAAAGCCAGGAAACTTGGTGCAAACCAGGATGAGTTGACTAGTTGGTCATCCTACTACCAGACTCTTACTCATTACTGAGAGAGGCAGAGTTGAGGCCACCTGGCCTTCTGCACCTGGGCCCCAGGCTATCCTGCCCCTCCCTTGTCTTCTCCACCTTACACACCTTTCCTGAGATGGTGAGGGGGTAGCTGGTGACAAACACGATATATCGGGGAATCTTGAAGTGGGAGATCTGCAGACCAGAGGAAGATACAACATGAGGCTGGGTTGGGGTCATAGGGTTGGGGGAGGAAAGAGTGGGCTGAGTGGTTGGCAGGGAAAAGGGGGTTGGAGAACCGAGCACCATCAGTGGGGGCTGCATTGAGGCTCCCACCTTCCCTTTGCAGAAAGCTTTGATCTCTTCTGGCGTGGTCTCCTCCCCGGGCTTCAGCAGAATGCAGGCACAGATTTCCTCCCCCATCCGGTCGTCCTTCACTCCCACCACCTTCCAGAGTCACAGACAGATATCAGACATCCCCATCCCCATCTGTGTTTCCTGCTCCTGGGGCTCACCTGGACTGGGTGCCTCACCTGCACATCCTGCACCTTCGGGTGTGTGTGAAAGAAGTCCTCAAGCTCTGCGGGGTAGATGTTCTCACCGCCCCGGATGATCATATCCTTGGAGCGGCCCACAATTTTGCAGAAGCCCTGCTCATCCATGGTGGCAATGTCTCTGTAAGGAAAGGCCAGAAATGGCCTCTTGCTTCTGCCTCAACCAGCCGGCTCACATACTCATTCATCAAACATTTATTGGCACCTACTATGTGTCTCGCACTGCTCTAGACTCTGGTGGGTACAGTCTGAACAAGATATTCCCTAAAACTTACAGTCTAGTGGAGGAGGCAGACAAAAACAAATCAATACCCATAACATATTCTCTCTCTCTCAGCATATCTATACATATGCTTTTCATGGCTGGCTTCTCCTTTTTTTAAAATTTATTTTTTATTTGTTCATTTGAAAGAGAAAGAGAAACATCGGTTTGTTGTTCCACCTATTCATACATTCATTGGTTGATTCTTGTATGTGCCTGACCGGGGATTGAACCCACAACCTTGGTGTATTGGGAAAACACTCTAACCAACTGAGCTACTCGGTCAGGGCTTGGCTTCTTTTCTATCATTCAGGTCTCAGCTCAAATGTTTCCACCTTAGGAGGCTAATCTTAACAGAAACTCCCCTTCCTATAAGAGGCACTTTCTTTCTTCTGATCTATTTTATTTTCTTCATTTTTATCAATGTCTGAAATTCTCTTATTTGTATTGGTCTCCCTCCACCAGCCATGAGAGAAGTAAAAGTAGGATCCTTCTCATCTTGCTTTCCATTGGTCTGCCAGTGTCTAGAATAGTGGAGCACATGACAGGTAAGAAAAATTTGTTGAATTAACAAACGAGTGACTATATCTTAGCTCCAATTTTGCAGACACTGGTATAGTGCACTGTCCTGGGCGCTCTCATCAGTACCACGTTTGATCCTTCCGGGATCCCTATGCACTATGATCACCCCCATTTTACACGTGGTGGAAATTAGGTCTATGAAGGGGCCAAATTGACACACATATTGTCCCTCTTCTAGTTTAATGTTCCCAGCTCAGCCTCGGGACCCCCAGCTTCCCCTCACCAGCCAAACCCTCTGCCCCACTCCGCCCTCTCACCCTGTCCGATACCACTTGTCCTGTCCAATAACTTCCTCAGTCTTCTGGGGCTCACCCCAGTAGCCCAGCATGACGCAGTACCCTCGGATCCACAGCTCTCCAGGTGTGTTCAGCTCTGCCATGGTCCCCAACTCCGTGTTCACAATCTGGGCCTGGGACAGGGCAGCTTCGGGTTGGGGCCTCCTACCCTCTCACTTCAGGATGGAGGCGAGGGGCTCAGGAATGGGCGCTTTGCTTTTCCTCCTCCAATAATGAGGCCCCCTGGCTCCGCCCAACCCGATCCAGGGAAGGGACACAAGGGCCAGAGTGGGCCCATCACCAGTCAGACACCTGAGCTGGGCATGCAGGAACAGGTGAGGCCCAGGTCAGGGGTGCTGAGGAAACTGGACAGGAGGTGCCACAGAGAAGGAGGCCTATGGAGGGCAGGCAGGCGGAAGAATTATAAACTGTGCAGAGGAAAAGGGAGTGTTCTCTTACTTCCCATTAAGCAGCAAATAGAGAAGCCAAAGAGGATGGTGTGGCCGGGCCATGTGAACAGGAGAGGCGGCAGAGAGGTAGAGTCTGAAAGCCTAGCGGGGAATTGGGCTGCAGCCAATGTAAAAGGGAAACTTAGTCTCTGTGTGCCTCAGTGTCTGCCTCTGTGAAATGGGGAGAACTACGCTGGCCCTGTAGTTCTACAGGTGGGCATCCCCCAGAGTAGCAGTGAGGCTGTCAGAGGGATGGGAACGGGCTAACATCGCCACACACTCACTCCAGGGAGGAGGGCAGGAAAGATTCACCCCAGATCGTGGTTGGGCTCTAGGGGAAGCAGCTGCCTGGGCACACTGGCAGTGACCTCAGAGGCACAAGGGCACACGGGGGCAAGGGAAACCAAGTGTGGACTGGCAGAAAGCACCAGTGACAGAGCAGGAAAGGAGTCAGGGTTGGAAATTTGAGTGAGAGATGATCTGGCTCAGCCTTGAAGTACAAAGGATCCCCAAAGGGACAGTCTGCTTGGGAAATTCAGTGTTGAAGCAAAAAGAGAAACTCTGTCAAAGAGAGGGTAGGGGGCCCAGGGGAGAGAGAGAGCTGTGTAGGAAAAATCTCTGTGCTCTGGCTCCTCTTTGAGGCTGTCCTGGCTGCCCCGAAACAGACAGTGGGGCTTGGCAAAAACACACCTCAGACAGGAAGGGAGGCTGCGGAGTTCAGCTGGCTGCTGCTCATGGCCGCTGCTCAGCTCTACCTCTCAGGCCTCAGCCCACAGAGCAAGCCCAGGCCAGGCCCGGGGAAGACCCCTGTGGGGAAGTGGGTGCTCTCTGCAGGAGGTAGGGTCTGGGGTTTCTGGTCTGGGGCTCACCTCTGTGTGAGGCATGATTCTGCCCACACTTTGAGCCTTCTGCTCCAGGGTGTCATCGGGAAAGTTCATGAAGGTCACAGGACTATTCTCTGTGGTTCCATAAGCAACCTAGAGGGTCCAGAAAGGATGCTTGGAAAAAGCTGGGGGACTGCAGAGGGGTGAGGTGAGCTACACTGAGGGGCTGGAAGGAACTCAGGGGAATGTGGAACGCAACTGAATGGTGGGGGAAGAGGCACAGTTGGTAGAGGTCAGGGGTCAGGAGGCAGAGGCACTGGGACATTGAGCTGACTAACTCAACTAACAGGGGCCCAAGCTGGGAAATTGAGAGCTGGGAAGCCACTCTCTTCTAGCCAGGGTGCTATCTGTCTCTGTTCCCAGAAGCAGCCACATGCATGGTCTGTGGCTCCGAGGGCTTCCCATGCCCAGCCTTCTCTCCTCCAGTCCCCAGGCCGCCTTAGCCCCGCTTCCTGATTTCAGGTCACAACTTCCCCCCCAGCCCCTCTAAGCCGACGGTCCCATAAGCTTGATGAGAAAGCCAGCCTGTCTTGGTTCAGCTGCACATCATACCCTCCCAACACCCTGCCCCATCCACCAAAACCCAGGACAAGTGCCTGGCCCAGGGGTGGGTGCCCCCAAAGCTCTGGAGGGTTTCCTGTGAATTTTATTTCCATCAAAATAAAAATACAGCCAAAGCAAGGATTTTAAAAGCCAGTGGCTCCCTCTGCCCCCCTCCCCTCTAGTGGTTGGAACATCCTGAGCAACAGAAAACCAGAAGCCAGTCTTGGAGGAGCCTAAATACCATCAGGGAATGTCCTGGGCCAAGTATGACCTTCATCTAGAGGCAACGGGGTGACGGGGGCTTAGATGAGGGCCGCCCGCCACACCTGGGCACTGGGTGAGGGGAGGGCTAGCCACGCTGTATTCTATGTCTTTTCCAGTCAGCAAAGACACCAGACCTTTGTCCTCCATGCCCCCACCCCCAATTTCCACTGTCAGCTGGCATAGCTCAGGCACAGCTGGGGTCTGGTGAGACCTGGGGTCCAGTTCCTCCCTCCCCCCCAACACAGACAACATTCCCTGCCAGGCAGCCCAACGTGAGACCCTGACTGCCCACCCTCCCCTTTCCACAGGAATCTGGACACGGTGGTTGGCAAGAGGACACACAGAGGCCTGGTCAGCTGGGGCAGGGCTGCCCACAGGACCCAAGCTATCCAGAGCTGGTCCCTTGGAGCCAGGACCCAGGCCCCCTCACCCCTCAGGCCCTCCCAGTCCTGGGGCCACTGCCCAGGTGTGGGCTCTGCCAAGTACATCTTGGCGCCACTCTGGCCACCACCCTGGAGATGGGAATGAGGAGATGGGATATTTTAAGGAGATTAAAAGGGGGTGGGGGTGGGACTGTGCTTGTTCAGTTGCCCTGACTCCCAGCCTGTGGTCTTCAGGTGTGTTTGTGAGTCCTCAGTCCTGTGGGTCACTCCTCCCCTCCCCACCCCGCCCCCGCCCCTCAACCCCCAGCACCCCTAGCCCCCCCACACACACACACTCCCAGCCCTCCCCCACACACACATTCTGGTTAGTTTTTAGCCATAGAAAAGCGGAGAGTGGGTGCAGGGAAAACTCAGGCTTCAGGCTGGTAGAGAGGAGCCCCAGACAAGTCCAAGGGTGGGGAAGGAGCGCCCATCTCCCCAGGGCTGGCTGAGTCCAGCCAGAAGGGGGAGCCCGACGCCAGGGTGGCTCGCACGCTCCGCCGGCGCTGCACAAGAGCCCTATTAAAGCGCCGCCGGCTGGCCGACTGCGGCGAGACTCCTCGCGTCCGGCTGTCCAGCCCCGCTTCCTCCCTCCCTGGGTCCAGGGCACCGGCCCAACGTGTCTGGGGGAGGGGGGTGCCCGGTATGGAGGCTCGAACTTGAGCAAACAAATACGTTCACGGACCGCCTCCATCCCTGCAGTGTAATCACAGGGCTCTAAGCCCCCACCCAAAAAAGACACGGGGAAAGGAGCTAGGGGGTCTGGAAAGGAGCAGGATCTGAGAGCTGGGGAATTGGTTGAGGGCCAGGGTCCCAGTCCGCATGGTCGCCAGCCGGGGGAGGGGCCCCGCCCTCTCCCAGTGGAGGGCGGGGGCGCATCACCGGGCGGGAGGGAGTTAAGCCCGGTGGCCTCGATGCTCCACGTAGGAGCTGGCTCTGGCTGTCGGCTGCGGTCAGGGCCACCATATAAATAGGGCGGGAGACCCGAGCGCTGAGGACTTCCCGCTGCCCCCAGCCCAGCCCCAGGCGTCCCGGCCATGGCCTGCCCGATCTTCTTGCTCAGCTTCGGCCTCCTGGCCGGCCTGCTGCCGGCGCTGGCCGCCTGCCCCCAGAACTGCCACTGCCATGGCGACCTCCAGCACGTCATTTGCGACAAGGTGGGACTGCAGAAGATCCCCAAAGTATCCGAGAAGACCAAACTGCTCAACCTGCAGCGCAACAACTTCCCCGTGCTGGCTGCCAACTCGTTCCGGGCCATGCCCAACCTCGTGTCGCTGCACCTGCAGCACTGCCAGATCCGCGAGGTGACAGCCGGCGCCTTCCGCGGCCTCAAGCAGCTCATCTACCTGTACCTGTCCCACAACGACATCCGCGTGCTGCGCGCGGGGGCCTTCGACGACCTGACCGAGCTCACCTACCTCTACCTGGACCACAACAAGGTGACCGAGCTGCCCCGGGGGCTGCTCTCCCCGCTGGTCAACCTCTTCATCCTGCAGCTCAACAACAACAAGATCCGTGAGCTGCGCGCCGGCGCCTTCCAAGGCGCCAAGGACCTGCGCTGGCTCTACTTGTCCGAAAACGCGATCAGCTCCCTGCAGCCCGGAGCTCTGGACGACGTGGAGAACCTCGCCAAGTTCCACCTGGACAGGAACCAGCTGTCCAGCTACCCCTCGGCGGCACTGAGCAAGCTGCGGGTGGTGGAGGAGCTGAAGCTGTCCCACAACCCCCTGAAGAGCATTCCCGACAACGCCTTCCAGTCTTTCGGCAGATACCTGGAGACCCTCTGGCTGGACAACACCAACCTGGAAAAGGTGAGCTCCTGGCTGCAGACCTCTGCCCTGACTCCTTTTTCTTTTCCTGGAGGCCCAGGGATCCAGGGCCACAACTGGGTACTGTTCCCTCTCCCCTCAAATTGCCTCTGTCCCTCTGGCTATCTCCAACGTGAGGAGCTCTGCCCCTCATCTTGTCACATCCCCACCCTGCCCTGCAGTCTCTGTCCCTAGTCTCAGCCACTGCCCTCCTAGCATTTTCTTATAAACGGAGCTGGGGCTGCCCTGGCCCCACCAATGGCCCCTAGGAAGCTTGTCCAGTGCTTCTAACCCCCCACTGTGGGCAGCAGCCACCTCTTCCTGTTGGGCTTCTGCCCCTCCTCTACTGTTTTCCCGTCTCCAGTAAACCTACCACCCCATAAAGGAAGGTTTGTTTATTGAGGAGACTTCCAGAGGAGCTGGGTGAATCAGGCCCACAAAGAGACCCTGTTCCTGGAGGGGGGCGTGCATGTGTGCTGGGGTGGGGGGAGGGCTGGGGAGTAAGGGGGAGCAAATACCCGAGGAAGACCTCCTCCACACGCCTTAGAGGCCCTGGTGGATACCCCCTCCCTCCACACACACATTCCGCTGCATTCTCAGGTCCATTTCAACTGAATGGGGACCAGGGACCAGAGGCTTCCCCAGACTGCAGGCATGGCACCCAAGACCTCTGCCAAGGGCAAAGGCAAGAACCACACACCATTGTCAACCTTTGGCACAGGTCCCCAGGTGTCTCCCTACAGTGCTTCACTGTCCTCTGCCCACCCCACTCACCAGACCCATCTCCTAGCTGCAACCTCATTGAATCCTTCCTCCCTTGTGATACTCAGCACCTGGCCAAGTGGGGCTACCTTGGGTCCTGGTGGAATCCCTTTTTGGGGCTGGAAAAATTGCTCTAATACAGGGACTTCAGTTAGGAGGTGTGGGCAGGCACCAGGGCAAGGTGGGGGGACAGTCATCAGAACAGTCTGGTTACCCGAGAACTTCACACCCCTCCCTGGCCACTGGCATGGAGATGAGGACTGAATCAAGCCTGGAAGGCAGCCAGCCTTTGTCTGCATGAATGGAACCTGCCATTCTTCAGCCTGGCCCCTCCCCAGCTGAAGTCAGAGCCCCCCGGGGTCCCCCAGTGCCAGAGCAGCTTTTCGGTGGGTAGCAGAGCAGGGGCAGCAGGGACTGATGGGGGCAGGGGAGGCCAGGCAGGATCTGTGACGCCTAGGCCAAGATGTGGGCACCAATAGAACATTTCCTCTGGAGCTGTCCAACCTGGCCAAAGGCTCCACCAAGGAGGCTCCACAAATAGCTTCTGGCAGGCAGCGAGGGACCAGTGAGGACAGAGCTGGGGGAAGTCCCAGGACCCTAGGGCTGTGGGGAGCCTGGGCCCACTGCCCATCCCACCAAACACTGACCAGCTTCACCATGTGCCAGCTTAGGCCGCTGGGGCCCAACTCTGGCTGCCTCCCCAGCGGCAGTGTTTGTGCAGAGAGTATGGTGCCAGGGGCAGAGGAGCTGGGTGTGGTCCCAAAGCTACTGTTTACTGCCTAGTGTGACCCTGGGCAAGGAACTTAACTTTTCCTCCCATCTCTATATTAGAAATGACACCGGCTATCTCAAAAGCTGGTCGTTTGTATTAAATCAACAGAGACAACTTAGTCACATTGTGACACTCCTCAAGGTGCTACTGCTTATGTCCAGGGAAGGACCCTGCCACTCTGGGGCCATAGAGCTGGAGAGGCTGGACATGGGGGCTGAGGTGCTCATTTGTGCCCACCTTGCTCCCTAGTTCTCCGACGGTGCCTTCCTGGGTGTCACCACACTGAAAAACGTCCATCTGGAGAACAACCGCCTGGCTCAGCTGCCCTCCAACTTCCCCTTTGACAACCTGGAGACCCTCTCTCTCACCAACAACCCCTGGAAGTGTACCTGCCAGCTTAGGGGCCTGCGGAGGTGAGAGCACCCCCACACCCCTCCCAGAACCCACCCTCAGGTAATGCAATGGAGACACGCTGGCCCTGCATTAGGATATCTTGGGCATATTGTCCTACATTTGCTACCTGACAGGTGTGGGCTTGAGCTCCTACATTTGTCAAATGAAGGTGACAGTTCCCAGACTTTTCTGGAGCCAAGTGAATCCTGACCTCATAACTCACTGTTCTTTCCCCTAGCATTTCCACATCTCTTGCCCAACCCCATTTCTCTGTCTCTCCAGGTGGCTGGAAGCCAAGTCTTCCCGCCCTGATGCCACTTGTGCCTCGCCTGCCAAGTTCAGGGGCCAGCACATTCGTGACACGGATGCCTTCCGCAGCTGCAAGTTCCCCACTAAGAGGTCCAAGAAAGCTGGCCGCCATTAAACAGGTGGGAACAGGGCAGGCTGGTCCCCATTCCCCTCTCTGGAAACACTGGCAAGTAAGGAGGGTGTCCCAGGGTATGCCCTCCCACAGAGGGGCGTGCAGACCCTCCAGTTTTCCAGGGAGAAAAGGGGAACTTTTAAAGGGGATAATGAGACTGGCCCAGGCTCCCACCACTTTCTCCGAGCGTCAGCTGGGTTACTGGCGTCCTGACACCGTTCCTTGCTTCTCTGCAGGTCCTGATCCAGCCAGTCCTGGTGACTGGTCTCTGCCTTCTGCTGGAGAAACTACTGACCTCCCCACCTCCGACCCCACCTTCTTCCACAGCCTCTGCTGATGCACAGAGCTGTCCACACCTAGACACGTCCTGGCAGGGGGAGTCAGGACTCTGCCAGCATGAACCCAGCTCCACCATCTCTGCCTGACAGTGAGGGCTCCATCACACCTGGCCCCTCCACATCAGCTCCTCTCAAAGAAGGGCTGCCGAGACCCTCAAGTCCTTCAGAACCAGAACTGGGTGGTCATCAGGATGGCCACCCTTCCAGAATCCTCCTTTCATCTGCTCCCCTTTCCCTTCCATTTGGAAACAAACGTCAGATCCTTGCCCCACCCCTTGTTTCCAGGAAAGGTCTTCAGCCTGTACCCCAGCTCCACCAGCCCTTGCCTGCCAGGACGCTCTAGCAGGATACCGGTGCTTTGCCAAATATCTCCCACGCTGCATTTCCTCCCCAGATTTCTATAAGTATAAATTTATGTATGTATGATATTTACTCCCTGTTGTTCCCTATTCCATGACTCGCTGGCTGCGGATGAAGTCAGATTGCATTTTCTCACATCTGCTTTCTAGAAGGAGGGTGGGCCGAGAGGGTCTACCCTGGAGATCTGGCCCGGGCTCATCCCCACTCCCATACATCTGTTCTCACCCCAGGGTGGCCTGCCTTGCTCCCACCGCCCCAGCCCCAGCCACCACTCACCACCAGCTCCCTCGCATTCAGCCTTCTGACGATGGTTCGGATCAGCTCTGGGGGTACTGGGGACCCAGCAATCAAACCTGAATCAGAGAGAGGGCTGACACGGCTCCCACCACCTTCAGGCTCAGTGGACCCCCTTTGCCCGCAGCTCTTTCTAGGGAAGAACATTCCCTTCTCTTCCCTGCCCCTGGACCTGTTCCTACACTTGGCATCAGGCCTTGGACTGGTATCCAGAGTGGCTGGGAATTTGCCTCCCTTCCCCCAACATTTCTACAGTGATCTTTTTGCCCCCTAAGTAAAGGACTGGGTGTACATCTAGCTCAACCAGGCCAGCTCTGGCCTGACCACCCTTGGCCCCATCCCACCTCCACACATGGTTGAGATGTCGTAACTGGAGAAGTCTGGCTGGTTCAGAATGTCCACGAACATTGTGGGGGTGCCATACAGGAAGGAGCCTCTGTATAAGGGAGGGTGGCATCTTAAAATCAGGTTCAGAAGTGGAAGGGAACTCCCTCTTCTCACCCACCCACCTTGAACCTGTAGCAAGGGCCAAGGCTGCGACAGTGGGAAACAGGGAGGAGAAGCTCTTTGGAGGCAGGAACTGGCACTCTGCTGAGGTTCCCCACTACCTTGTCTCCATGTCTCCTAGCTGGAGGGAGGAGACATCCTGGAGAGGGAGCAGGGCCCAGGAGTGAGGAATAGGAGGGTCTCATGAGCCAGCAAGGAGCTGCCCAATGATGCCCACCTCTCTTTGCTGATGGCCTCCAGCGCCTTCTTGCCATCAAAAATTGGAGAGGACAGGATGAGGGTGACACCGTGCATCATGCTCACCATTGTGCCCCCCACAGAACCCAGGCAGTGGTACAGGGGGGCGGGCAGGATCACCCTCGACTCCTCTGGTGTCTGGAGATGGAGGCAGGAGGCTAGGTCTATCCTGGAGCTGGGAGCCCCAGAAGCTAGTATCTCTAGCCAGCAGGGAGAGCCCAGCAAAACCCCCACCCACGCAGGGTTCCAGTAGGCCGTGGCCAGCACCCCTCACCTTCAGGTGCAGTTTCAAGCGCTCCCCTATGATGTTGGAGTTGTTGACAATGTTGTAGTGGGAAAGAGTGGCCCCCTTGGGGCTGCCTGTCGTCCCCTGAGAAGACAAACAGGTGACACTTGGCCTCTTTCTCCCCATCTCCTTCATGCCCTGGGCCACTGCGTGGAGGAACACTGGACTGGAGTCAGGAGACTGGGACTGTTGCCCCAGACCCATTCATTCATTCAGTACGTGTTCACGTAAGTTTTCCACGTGCCTGCCTGGTGCCAGGGGTTAGGACCCACAGGTGTGGAAGATAAGGTCCCTGTCCTCCACGCCACTCATAAAGCGGCTCAGAGCACTCTGTGGCTCAGAAGCAGATTCTGCTTCTGGGCCTCAATTTCCCCTTTTGCTAAATGAGGGGGCCTATGGTGGCACCATGCATCTGCCCCCGTGCTGGGGACAAGAGGGCCAGAGAGGGGGACATGGACAAGGACACCGGTTGCTGATGTTTTCTAGGGCAGAGAGGACGACTAGGGTTGCCCCAGGAGAAGAGTCCGCACTCCTGAGCTCCGTAGCCCTGTGCTCATTCTCGGGGAAGGTTCACAGGGGCAGGCAGGGTAACATGCCAGGCTGGGCTTGGGTCCTAAAGACCTCTGCCTTACCGAGGTAAACTGGATGTTGATGGGGTCATGGCAGGACAGGAACTGCTGGGTGTACCGGAGCCGGGCCATATGCTGCTGTTTGCTTCCAGCTGCCACCACTTCGTCCAGGAGCAATGTCCCTGGCAGAGGGGTGTCCACTGAGATGAGTGTGGTCAGTTCTGGGAGTCTGGGGGCAGGGAGAACGGAGAGAGTCAGGGGCTGAGGGAGCCCACTGAGAAACCTGCCTCCTCCGTGGGGGTGGGTAGTGGATGAGGGGGCCAGGACGTCATATAACACACACGTCCCAACCCGGGACATCCCCACCTATGACTCTTCAAGGCCCCTGGCTGGGCCTTCTCCAGCTCTGGACAGATGTGCTTCAGGATGTCGTAGTACTGCTGGGTCTTGAATTGCTTGGGGAACACGAGGGCTTTGCAGCCTACCTGTGGAAGGGAGCCCCCACTCCCAGTCAGCGGAAAGCCCACACTGGGAATCTAGGAGAGGCCACACTAAAAGCTGCTCCCTCTCATACATATGCACTACTACCCTGACACCACACACACACCGGCTCCCACACCACTGCCATGACACATGCGTGTACCATCCCCCAACACATACACCAGCTTTGTATCTGCCCAACTACCTCCTCCTCCCGTCCACTCACAGCCTAAGAAAGGACGACTCTAGGTATCACCCACCTATGCAGCCCTCACCACCCCATCAGCCCTCTGATAACTGAAAGCCCCTGTTCCAGGCACCCGCCCCGCCCCGCCCCAGGAACAGATCCTACCTTCCTCAGGGCATACTCCAGCTCCATAGCTTGGTAGGCTGGGTTTATGGATACCTGGTGGAGACAGCAAGAGTATGTCAGTGTTCTGGGCAGACCCTATCCCTCTCGTTACCCCTCTACCCTCAGTAGGCACAGAAACACGGTATAGACAGAGGCAGCACCCTGCCCGCCTAAGTCTCCTTGGTAGCTTCAGGAAAAAGCTACCCAAATACCCACACGGGTTTGATTCTGAGACCAAGGAGCCAGCAGGTTTCCCATGAATGATGCCCCCCTGCATACCCAGCTATGCCAGGCCAGCCCTTCCTCACCAGAATGATGCCTGCCTGGGCTGTGGCCAGCTGCATGAGCACCCATGCATAGGAGTTGGGTCCCCACATGCCCAGTCGGTCACCCTTGCAAAGGCCAATACTCAGGAGCCCAGAAGCAGCTTTGTCCACCTGGTGTAAACAGACAGGGCACACGGGGTAAGGTGTGGGCAAGCAGGAAGGGCCATGACTCCCACCTCAGCCCTTGGCCCAGGGGTTCACATCAGAATCACCTAGGAACAAGGGACAGACCTCAGTGGGGCATGCATTACACAGAGTTAACAAGTGCCCCAGGGGTGACTGATGTAGGAAGCCTCTGGGCCACCTCTGCCTCAGTCCTGTCCCCACCTCCTAATGCCCCTGGGGTTCTCTGGCAACCCCCACACCCTGCCCCAGTCAGGTGTCGGCCTAATGGTTCCACCCAGCCAAGGAAGCCTGGGGGCTAGCACCTGCCCACTTTCAGGGTTCAAGGTCAGGACCCACCTCTTCCTTTAACTGGGCAAAGGTCAACCTGATATTTTCATGGAGGATGATCAAGGCCTCTCGGTCTGGGAACTTCTGTGCTGTAGCATCCAGGCAACGTCCTACAGTCTTGTTGATAAGACGAAATTTGGTGTAGCCCTGAACGTAGCTAAGGCCTCCGATAGGCAGGGTGGCAATATGTTCCTTCTCTCCGGAGCTGTGGGGAGAGGCAGCATGGGTTCCACTGCACCAGGCCAGGCCTCCCTGGCAGCAAGGGCCTGGCACACCCTTGCTGCGAACAATGTGCTAGGGACCACTGCAGAGACTGTTGGGCTCACCCCATTCCCAGGAACCATCACCATTGAACTTAGGGACTGCTTCACCCTTGGAGATCCAAACCAGAAACTGACTTCTGGTCCTTAATCAGAGAGAAGGTTCTTTTTCCATCCTACTCCCCAGTTTCCACACAATACCAGTGGCCTGGAGCGTTGGTGCAATAACAGTGGAAAAGGAAACTGAGGCAAATCACATTGCTTTGACTAAGCAGAGAGGTTGCCTAAGGGGGCTAAGAACAATGGCCTCACCCTAGACACCACGCCCTGCGGATAAAATGCCCCTGGGCATTTGTCAAAACCCACAGAATAGTCCAACACAAGGACTGAATCTTAATGTGAACTATGGACTACAGTCCCTAATAATGCATCAATGCCAGGGCACTAATTATGCGCTAATGTTAACAACCGGGGACACTGCATCTGGGGTGGGGTGGGCATATGGAACCCCAGTTTAACGTGCTTAGTTATGCTGTAACTCTAAAATTGTACTTAAGAACTTAGGTCTATTAATTATTAAAGAAACAAAACAAAAAAAAGGCCTCCAGAAGTCCAAATATCACATGCTTACGCCGGCGTGCGCTCACTTGCCCACCCTGGGTGACAGCTACTGGGCTCCCGCCCAGGCCTCTGGAGGAATGGAACCGGTTTTAGACCCTGTCCCACTCAGAGGGCAAGCTCCAGGTTCCTGCCTTCCAGGCTACCACTGGGCGGTACGGGCCCTGAGAGCCAATCCTGACGATTCAGTTCTGCAGCTGCTAAGAATACCGTGGCTATCTTTTGTTGATTGGTTGCTGATCGCTTGTGGGGAGAGTTTGCAGGAAGAACAAAGTATGCAGGGCAGGGGGAGCAACACTGGGTTACGGTGTAAATGGGAGAGGAAGCTGCTGCCGTCTCACGGAAGGGTGGGTCACAGTTCCAACTGAGGGGGAGGCGGCCCAACTTGATGCCTGAGCTACAGCTGGGGGAGGGGGGAGGCTGAGCGGCACAGTGGGAACTGCTGAAGCTCTGTAGAGAGCAAGCAAGCACTAGGCTGGGGTTGGAGGCCTGAGGTCTCAGCCCAGGTTGCTGCTGGCTGGGTGAGTGACTGTCGCAGACACCTTTGGTGTCTCATGTCACATCTCCTCACTACACCTTTGGTTTCGGCTGCTGGGACAGTCCCTTAGGGGTCTGTCTGCTCAGGGACTTCCTCAAGGCTCCCTTTCTGCAGCGGGACAGTTCTGAGAGGCCAGCTGTACCT